AGAGCTCACTAGAAGTCACTAGAAGTCACTAGAAGTCACTAGAAGTCACTAGAACTCACTAGAACTAGCTAGAGCTCACTAGAGCTCACTAGAGCTCACTAGAGCTCACTAGAGCTCACTAGAGCTCACTAGAAGTCACTAGAGCTCACTAGAAGTCACTAGAGCTCACTAGAACTCACTAGAACTAGCTAGAGTTCACTAGAGCTCACTAGAGCTCACTAGAGCTCACTAGAAGTCACTAGAAGTCACTAGAACTCACTAGAGCTCACTAGAAATCACTAGAAAGCGCAATTTTACTCCAAAAAAGCCAATTTTTCTGATTTTTTTTTGCAAATCTACCCAATTTTAGTACATTGACTCAAGAAAGTTTCAAGTTTTTAATCTTTTTTCAATTCAATTTTCCCTTTTCCCCAATTTTTCCATTTCATTTCTCTTCAATAGACGGATTTTCCGGCAAATTTCCCTTAGAAATTCATCAAAAATCGCAAAAAACAGCAAAAAATGAGTAATTTTCATTTAAAAATAGACGAAAGAGTTGAAAGAAACCCGAATTTATCTGGATTTTTTGAAACTTTAAAGAATTTTCTTAATTTTCTTGATTTTTAATGCTTTTCAATGCTTTTCCAAGCGATTCTTGCGATTAAAGCGATTCTTTTCTTTCTTTTTTTAAAGTTTCCTAGTTTTCTTTATTAAATATTGAAATAGAGAAGTTATAGGAAGACGCAGCTCGACCAAGACCTAAGAAGTACGGATATGCGCCAGCTCTCGGGACTCAGAGATTCTAAACAATGTCCTAAAACAAAAGCTTACTTTATCAAACATTCGACTGCAATTCTTTCTCCCAAATGTCACAGTTGCTATCCAACCGATGGATAGGGAATTATAAAGTTTGACGAGCCCTGAGAACACGCATCGAGCCCTTGAAAGGAACCTCCTCGGGTACAATAGGAAGACGCAGCTCGACCAAGACCTAAGAAGTACGGATATGCGCCAGCTCTCGGGACTCAGAGATCCAGGGGAAGTGATCGAGAGAAAAAGACTCAGATGGGCCGGCCACGTAGCCAGAAGAACAGACGACAGATGGACGACACGGATCACAGAGTGGCTACCACGAGACCAGAAGAGGCCCATCGGAAGACCAGCGACGAGGTGGAGCACAAGAGTGGCAGAGACGGTCAGAGAAAGGATGGCTAGAGTGCAATCACCACCAGCACAAGCAACTGGAAGACTTCGAATCAGGAATAACCAAGATAGGAAGCACTGGATGACAATAGCAAGGGATCGAGAAATGTGGAAGCAGGTTGTGATCTGCGCAAAGAGGAACACCTAAGTGCGAAGACAGATCAAAAAAAAAATGTAGGGAAGTTGACGGTGAGCAGCAGGAAGTCATCAGTTAAATACTGATTTCAGGAATTAGTCTATCCAAAAGACGGAATCACCAACGAGCAAATGTTTTTCTATGTTCGTTGGGTTTCATTTGCTTTTATTTGTTTTTAAAGGTGTCCATGCTGATTTTAAGCAGTGATTTCTGTTTACTGGATGCTAACTAAAGTGCTTAGTTGTCACGATGCACCATATCAATGGAGATCGTATGGACAGCCGCGTGAAGGAGCAATCATGCGAGTCAATCAACTTTGACTTAAAAAAAATGATGTAAAAATTGTAGTTAACTGGTAAAATTGTAGTTAACTTCAAAATGAAAGTTCAGAAAGTGGTTTTGTGAGAGTTTTTGTAAGAGTTTTTAGAGATTTTGACTTTGTAAAGGCTTTCAGCTCCGAGCCAAACTGATATTTTAGTTACTATTGTTATTATTGAATGATCTATTCAATATTGAATGATCTATGAATGTCTATTCTTATGCAAATGTGTTCTCCCCTGTGCTTATCCCTTTTATTGTCGATCGAGAAGGGGCGTTGAGTTGGGTTGTTGGGGTGTTAGAGATGGCGGGCTATCAAAAGGCCTAGGAGGACAGTGAGGAGCCTAGGAGGACAATGAGGAGCCTAGGAGGACAGTGAGGAGCCTAGGAGGACAGTGAGAAGCCTAGGAGGACCGTGAGGAGCCTAGAAGGACAGTGAGAAGCCTAGGAGGACAGTGAGGAGCCTAGGAGGACAGTGAGAAGCCTAGGAGGACAGTGAGGAGCCTAGGAGGACAGTGAGAAGCCTAGGAGGACAGTGAGGAGCCTAGGAGGACAGTGAGAAGCCTAGGAGGACAGTGAGGAGCCTAGGAGGACAGTGAGAAGCCTAGGAGGACAGTGAGGAGCCTAGAAGGACAAGTGAGACTCTCATTTGGAGTCCCTCCTTCCCCGTGCACTCATTTGTAATCTATTCGTCTTAGCGTACTACTGTAAATAAAGATACATATCTTCCGAGCATATGCGACTGCAGTACAAGTCGGCCATTTCACAGGAACTCCCCTCTAATACGTTGGAGGAGTTGAGTTGGGTTGTCGGGGTGTTAGAGATGGCGGGATATCAAAAGGGATCCACTCTCTTTAACTTAACCCAAATTCTAGTCCACATCCGTTTATACCGAGGAAGGTATAAGGCTATAAAGAGCACTGTACTTTCCACTAATCACTGTGCTTTTTGGGTGTACCTTTTGAGTGTATGGGTGTACTTTTTTGGGGTAAACGCACGCCGTTTTGACGCCAAGATAGTCTACGAGCGACTGGTTTAGTGATTTACTTTGTGCTCTTGAATAAACGCTAACGAGCTAACGAGTTGGCGTAGTGAAATTGGTTGGTTTCGTTGGTTTGTTGGTTTGTTGGTTCATTTAGTTCATTTACCCGATTCTTTTGAAGAAGTTTAGAAGAAGAGCCGGTTTAATTAAACATTCTTTACTTTTGGCTTTGGCTTTGGCTTTTATATAACATTTCTTCTCACTTTCTTCTCATTTTCTTTTTCTTTCCATTTTCTTTCCATTTTATTTCCATTTTATTTCCATTTTCTTTTTATTTCTTTATATTATATTATAATATTTCCATTCCTTTTCATTTTATTTCCATTTTCGTCAACTTTTCGTCATTTTCCCATAAATAAATGTCAAATCCATTAAGAAATAATGGAAAGTTGCATTTCACTTTTTCTCATTCAGTTAAAATCAAGTTTTTTTTCCCGATTTTAGCTAATAGACTTTTTGTAAATGGTCGTTTTAAGAAAATCGGGAAATGTGAACAATTGAGGGGAATTAAAAAGAAAGAGAAGCGAAAAGAAAAGAAATTTCATTTAGAGATTGGAAAAGAAAAGAATTGAAGGGAAAAGAAAGTAGAAGAAAGGAATCTATTTTGAAGGAGATCAGGAAGTCGAGGATCCGGGTCATTTAGTTCAATTACCCACTTTTTTTTGAGCTTTCCTAGGGCAACTAGTTTGCATTTGTTAACTCAATAGTAAACACGCCGTATCTAAGACAAGGCAAGGCCCACTAGGGAAAGGCCTGAACTCAAGGCTCACTAGGGAAAGGCATAAACTCTAGGCTCACTAGGGAAAGGCCTGAGCTCTAGGCTCACTAGGGAAAGGTATGAACTCTAGGCTCACGAGGAAAAGGCATAACCTTTAGACTCACTAGGGAAAGGCTCAGGCTCAGGCTTAGGCTCAGGCTCAGGCTCAGGCTCAGGCTCAGGCTCAGGCTTAGGCTTAGACATAAACTTTAGACTCACTAGAGAAAGGCCTGAACTCTAGACTCACTAGAGGAAGGCCTGAACCCAAGGCTCACTAGGAGGATGCATAAAATTTAGACTCAGAAAGGCCTAAACTCTAGGCTTCTAGAATAGGATGAATCCGAATTAGGAATCCGAATTAGGAATCTGAATCTGAAATCAAAATCTCCCAAACGACTTTCCAGGCGTGTAAAACTTGAATCGAAACTTTGGCAATGAAACGGATGCTTTAGAAGAAAAGGATGCTTTAAAAGGCTCCTTCCCAGCGGAGAAAATGAGCGCTGGTGGCCTAATGGATAACGGATTAAACTCCGGCCCACAAGGTCAAGGTTCGATCCCTGATGCAGCTTTTGTTTTTTTTTTTTTTCGAACAACTTCTAATATTTTGCGGCTCACCATGTGCTCATGCCTTTCCCTAGTCAGTCGGTTTAGTTACTCAGCCCAATCTCTCTTCTTTTTTCATCTCCAACTTTAGGTTTTTGTTTAAATTCTGTTTTCTTCTGTTTTCTTCTGTTTTCTTCTGTTTTCTACTCTTTTTCTTGTTTACTTCGGTTTAATTACCCAACTTTCCAACATTTTCATTATCTCTAAAAAACTAAGGTTCAATTTTGTTACTTTAAATCACTTAGGCGAGCTTTTACTTGAGTAATCAGATAAGAATCAAATTGGATAACAACACCAGATGAATGTAGGAAAATTTGAATCACTTTAACCCATTCGAAACTGCTGCAGCGAATAATCGCTGAAACAAAAACTCAGGAACGGACCGCTGCAGCGATTATTCGCTGCAGCGGTCCGTTCCTGAGTTTCTGCAGCGGTCCGTGCCTGAGTTTCTGCAGCGGTCCGTTCCTGAGTCAATTAGCGCTGCAGCGATTATTCGCTGCAGCGCTAATTCGTTTCCTTCGTTTTGTAGTCCCGCACACTACCCTCTAGGCCACCGCTGGTCTTCGGAGTCAAAAAAAGTGCTTGGTCCGTAGACGAAAAAAAAAGAAAAAACGCTGCGGTTTCGAATGGGTTAAACACTTCTAAAGCAATGATTTCTCATCCTTTCTAACAGCTATTCATCAAATATTCCTTTCTGCAACAATTCTTCGATCATTTGTTTACTTTATTTCATGATTTTCTCGTCTCATTACTCATAAGAACATTTCAATTAACCTTTCAAATTCAAAAAAACCTTTTTATCGTTTTATTTCTGAATTTATCCAGGTGCAATAAGATTTTCGCAATAAAAATTGAAATTTTCTTGATTTCTTTTTAAATTCTGTTTTCTATTGATGATTAGATTTCAAAAAAAAAGCTTTAAATCTTTAGATTTATCGAACTCGGGTCACCAAATTAACAAAATGAGCTCGTCACTCGTTTTTTGGATTTTTCTCGTCGTTCCCTTTTGCTTTCTCATCAAAAACAATGATGCGGGTATGGCATTTTAATGTTTATTTAAATTTTAGATCTTTAGCTCTTTAGTTCTTTAGATCTGGATCTTTAGCTCTTTAGATCTTTAGCTCTTTTGAGCTTTAGAGCTTTAGAGCTTTAGATCTATAGCTCTTTAGATCTGGATCTCTAGCTCTGGATCTCTAGCTCTGGATCTCTAGCTCTGGATCTTTAGTTCTTTAGATCTTTAGCTCTGGATCTTTAGCTCTGAATCTCTAGCTCTGGATCTCTAGCTCTGGATTTCTAACTCTGGATCTCTAGCTAGATTAGAGTTTAAATCACCAATAGATTTGTTTATCGAGACAAGCTCTGCTCATGTTTAAGCTCATGTTTAACCGTTCAGATCTCACTTTCTAGAATAACTATTAATCTGAAAATTGTTTCATTGAAAAGGCAAGAATGTCAGCTTTTAATTGCTATCTCATATATAACAAATTCTTATAGATAAATGCCTTAAAAAGTATTGATAAGCAAGTCTAATCACTAATCCAAGCCTATAATATTTTTTAAGTCTTACAGTCATGGACAAAAGCCTTTTAAAGGTCGAATTGGTCGAATTGGTGGAATTTGGACAAAGATATACGAAAAACAAACTTCGGAAAACCAACGTTAAAAGACTTTTGTCCTTTAGCTAATAGCTAATAGCTAGTAGCTAATAGCTAATAGCTTTTTCTCACAGCTTATAGCTATAGCTTTCTTATAGTCTCCGCATCAAGCTATTAGGTTGGCCGTAAAAGTTCTTTCCGTTTTTTGACGCTAGATCTAACTTTTTATTTTACGCATCAAAAACGCCAAATAAAAAAACAAATTTATCTACTTCACCTTCAACATCAATAACATCCTGCCACTTATCCGGCAACAAATAGATTCCGCGATAGGGAACCAGATTTAGAGAGATCAGGAACCAAATTTAGAGAGATAAAACGGTAAAACTCACGTGGCTTCGAATCGAAAAACTGAGTGAGTGACAAGCTCTAAATCTGGTTCCTTATCTGTCTAAATTTGGTTCCCTATCGCGGAATCTGTTTGTTGCCGGATAAGTAGCAGGATGTTATTGATGTTGACGATGAATATTTCGAGTAGATAAATTCTGTTTTTTTTATTTGGCGTTTTTGATGCGTAAAATAAAAAGTTAGATCTAGCGTCAAAAAACGGAAAGCGAATCTAATAGCTTTTTCTCACAGCTTATAGCTATAGCTTATCTTGATCTAATACGGTTCGAATACGGTTTCAATACGGTTCTAATACGGTTCCAATACGGTTCCAATACGGTTCTAATACGGTTCCAATACGGTTCTAATATGGTTCTAATACGGTTCTAATATGGTTCCGATTTTGATCTAATACGGTTCCAATACGGTTCGAATACGGTTCGAATACGGTTCCAATACGGTTCCAATACGATTCCAATACGGTTCCAATACGGTTCCAATACGGTTCCAATACGGTTCGAATACGGTTCCAATACGGTTCCAATACGGTTCTAATACGGTTCGAATACGGTTCGAATACGGTTCCAATACGGTTCCAATACGATTCCAATACGGTTCCAATACGGTTCAAATACGGTTCGAATACGGTTCCAATACGGTTCGAATACGGTTCGAATACGGTTCCAATACGGTTCCAATACGGTTCCAATACGGTTCCATTACGATTCCAATACGGTTCCAATACGGTTCGAATACGGTTCCAATACGGTTCCAATACGATTCCAATACGGTTCCAATACGGTTCGAATACGGTTCGAATACGGTTCCAATACGGTCCAATACGGTCCAATACGGTTCCAATAGTCTAAGCTATAGCTATAGCTTAGACTATAGCTATAGCTTAGACTATAGCTATAGCTTAGACTATAGCTATAGCTTAGACTATAGCTATAGCTTAGACTATAGCTATAGCTTAGACTATAGCTATAGCTTAGACTATAGCTATAGCTTAGACTATAGCTATAGCTTAGACTATAGCTATAGCTTAGACTATAGCTATAGCTTAGACTATAGCTATAGCTTAGACTATAGCTATAGCTTAGACTATAGCTATAGCTATACCTCTCCGCATCAAGCTAAAATTTAGAATCTAAGTGTAAAAGTGTTATAAAAATGAAATTACAATAAATTTTAGGTATTTTAGGTAATCTGAGATATTTTTGACTTAATCTGGCTTCATAAAACATATTATAAGCTTTCAAAACACAAATCTCATTGAATTGGGCAAATATTGTGAAGCCAAATACAAAAGAAAACTCTCTCAGCTTTCAAAACTCAAGAGAAAGTTCACAAAACCCTTTCAGCTTCCCCAAATTCCTCTCGGATACGAAAAAGTCGCGAACTCATCAATTTGTTGAGAGAAAGTAAAAGAAAACACAAAACACAAGCACTAATTTCCAAATAGCACAAAAATTTCAATGTTTTCTCAGCATGAGCACAGCTTAAGAGTTGAAAAAACTTGACGAACGCCTTGTCTTCCCTTGTCAATGCTTAGTACTTTCTACTTTGGTAAATGCTCAGCTGCTGGCGCACTCACTCAGTGTGCTCAGTGTGCTAAAAAGCGCTCATTTCGGAGAGCATAAAGCACACAATTTGGCAAGATTCTAGAGCATGACTTTCTTACATTCTTTAAATAAATCCACACCTCTATTCTTGGAATTCTTATCGAATTCTTATCAAATTCCAATTGTAGATGGTCGATTGCGAATGTGTCCGCCAGGTGGATCGTCCTTTACAATGGCTTGGTCGATGGCATGCAGTATGAGAAGAAAAAGAGATGTTGATGATGTGATTGATGAGAAAACGGATGATGCATTGATAGGGAATCGAGGTGGGGAAACGGGAGAATCGTGAATACCATGAAGGCCTAATAGAATAGCTCTATTAGAATAGCTCTAATAGAATAGCTCTATTAGAATAGCTCTATTAGAATAGCTCTATTAGAATAGCCATAGGAGGTCCGTGTAGTCTAAGTTTACACTCAAAGAACCGCTCGCATCTTGGCGCTCAGCACTTGTTTTTGATAACAAATGAAAGTACAGGATGCGTCAAAATTAACGCCTCACCTCTTTTACAATAGTATTTAGTTGTTTTCGAAGGAAAAATCTTCTAAATTTTTGTTTTTCTTCATTTTTTGCTTTGTTTGTTCTAACATCTAGCTTTTCAACAACAAAAAAAAATTGTTTAAACCCCTGAATACCTTTAAAAAGAGTCGTATATAAGGCGGCGCTCGTCATTTTTTGCAATAATTTTCACTAAAACTACGGTAATTTTTCCCAAGTGTGCGTTTTAAAAAAAAAACGCATTACTCGCGAGGAACACACTCTAGTATCGATGCCCAAGGTGTCTCACGGATCAAACATTGAGCTAGCTATGACAGTTGCACCTATCGGATGTTAGGAGCTGGCCAGGTTGGCTGGTTTTGACTGGTTTTGCCTGGTTTTGCCTGGTTTTGGGACTTTGAGCCAGACTACCCTGCTGCAGAGAGGAAGAGACTGCAAAGAGGTCAAGCCAGGCTAGGAGAACCTGACTTCTGGTCAGACGTTAGCATTGCTTAGCCAATTTCATTCATAACACTTGCCACTGCAGAGGGGTCAAGCCAGGCTAGGATTTAGTAAACTTAGCTTGGGTAAATAAGTCAGTGGCAGAGAGATGGATGTCAGAACTCAGAGAAGTCTGAAGTCCGAAACAGAGAAGTTTATGAGAGCCAGTTTACCAATTCTCAGTTTGAGAACCAGTTTACCAATTTCAGATCGTCGTGCTTTCATCGCGCCATCCATCCGACAATTGCAGCGAATTTGCTGTAGCCGGGGGTGTACGGTGTCGGATTTGCTCGGCTATTGTGGACCGTTATCTGGATGGTGAAGAGGATCGGTGCAGTAATCTCTTGACAGTATTCTCTTGACAGTATTCTCTTTACAGTAATGTCTTTACCGTAATCCCTTTACAGCAATCCCTTTACAGTAATCCCTTTATCGTAAGCTCTTTTCCGTAATCTCTTTACCGTAATCCCTATGGTTCCAATATGGTTCCAAGATGCTCCCATAAGTTCCAATATGGTTCCAATATGGTTCTATCTATGGTTCCAATATGATTCCAATATGGTTCCAATCTGGTTCCAATATGGTTCTAATATGGTTCTATATATGGTTCCAATATGGTTCTATCTATGGTTCCAATATGGTTCCAATATGGTTCCAATCTGGTTCCAATATGGTTCCAATATGGTTCCAATATGGTTCTGTAGATGGTTCTATACATGGTTCCAATATGGTTCTATATATGGTTCCAATATGGTTCCAATATGGTTCCAATATGGTTCCAATATGATTCCAATCTGGTTCCAATATGGTTCTAATATGGTTCTATATATGGTTCCAATATGGTTTTATATATGGTACCAATATGGTTCCAATCTGGTTCCAATATGGTTCCAATATGATTCCAATCTGGTTCCAATATGGTTCTAATATGGTTCTATATATGGTTCCAATATGGTTCCAATATGGTTCCAATATGGTTCCAATCTGGTTCCAATATGGTTCCAATATGATTCCAATATGATTCCAATATGGTTCCAATATGGTTCTTTCTCTTTACTCTTTCTCTTTACCCCAATCTCTTTACCCCAATCTCTACCGTATCCCAAACCTCTATACGATCTCCAAAAATCCTTTGCCTTATGCAATCTCTCATAAATTTTGTATGTACAACTTGTAATGCTTTTTTTTTGTAGAAACTATTGATAAAATACATCTTTTGTTTATTTTTGGTTTGTTTTAAAAGTACAATAATCTTACAGTAACCTTACAGTAATCCTAGACAAAATAAACAGAAAAAATTCAACTTCTTGAAGTCCAAACTCCTTGAAGTCCAAACTTCTTGAAGATCGATTCGAGAATCAAACAGAAGCTTCTAAACCTTGAAGATAAACTAATTTCAAGCAAATATTCGATTCCTCTAGATATTTGGACTCTTTTCTAAGAGCCAGCTTCCATCAAAACTAACAGAATCGATAAGAATCGATTTTGATCGATAAGTAATCGAGTTTTAATCGATAATGATAAAGACAAGAGCTCTTGCATACCGTTGAAAGCGAAATCCACTCCTTCACCGCCACCCAAATGAACGACTCGTTGCGGATACGGATTCACGAAACGCACTCTCGGAGAAGCGAAATTCGAGATTTGAGAGCGATCTGAAGACAGAGAAAATCAGACAGACAGTCCAGAAAGCCCAGAGATTAGCCTAAGAAGTCCAGAAAGTCCAGAAAGCCCAGAAATTAGCCCAGGAAGTCCAGAACTTAGCCCACAAAGCCTAGAAAGTCCAGGAATTAGCCCAAGAAGCCCAGAGAGTCGCGAAATGAGCTCAGAAAGCCTAGAAAGCCCAGAAATAAGCCCATTTAATCATATTTTAATCAATTTTAATCAATTTTAATCAATTTTAATCAATTGGCATCAATTGGAATCAATTTTAATCAATTTTAATCAGCCCAAATCAGTTTAAATCAATCCAAATCAATTTTAATCAATCCAAATCAATTTAAATCAATCCAAATCAATTCAACTCAATCCGCATCCATATTTCCTTACCCCTGAAATCCTCGGTGCTCTTCGGGTAAATGATCGTTTCTCGTTGTTGTGGAGGAGTGTTCGGAGTCAAGAGACTTCTTTGCATAAATTCTGGGCTCTTTTTCCTAAAAGAGTTTTGAAAAGTCGATTTGAATGGGAAAATTGCTTTGATTTGATTTGAATTTGATTGTTTACAATGTTTCGATGATTTTCTGTCTTCTAATATGCTCGGCTTGGCGTTGTTTCCCAGTCAAAATGCAGAAAACAAAAATCGCGATCAAAGCCAAGAGAATGGCGACTGAGGAGAGGATTCCGGTCATCCATTTCAATGCTGTTTCTTCGGATCGATCTGGAATTTGATTTCTTGAAGGGCAGATTTACAGAAAACGATCTTTTGCTTGTTTTGCTTGAATTTGGCTTAGAATTGCTTAAAATTAGCTTAAATTTGGTCCATTTCTTCCAGCTTGAGTCAATTTGAGTCAATTTGAGTCAATTTTGATCGACCTTCACTCACCTCGACACCAAACCCACCATCCCGGTGACCACGTTCCATTAATACACGTTCTTTGTTGATCACCGTGCAGAAAATATTCTGGTTTACACATAAAAGACACGGTTACTCCTGAAATTGTTGTTATGGCTAAATTATCGATTTTCTATTAGACTTTCCAGAAAATCTTTTCGTTTTCTGTTCATTCTGGAAGGCATGTTTCCAATTTATCGAATCGTTGTGGGGATTGGGGAAGATTTAGGGATGACGTCATAATCCGGAAAGAGACGCGGCCCCGGAAGTGTCAATAGAATGGAAATTAAAAGACTTTGGGAATGAGATTGGAGGTTATGGATGTCACAACAGGGATCGGTGGGATTAGATTTCTACGAAAGCCGGTTTTGGCTAGCTGCATTACCCAAGGTTGGAGTTCGACCCATGAAAAGCCACACGAATGGAAGCTTGAGCTTTGGAATTTTAAAATAAGCCAATCTGGAGCGCACTCGAGCGATTGGGTTGGTCTAATATCGAAAAATTGATAAAGTGCCGCGATTCAGCCGACTGGATCTTTTCAACGGAATCAGCCTCGGAAGCTCTAAAAGTCTAGAAATAAGCTAATCTGGAGTACACCCAAACTTTCGAACTGTCCAAACTGCAAGGAATTTAAGATCTAAAGTGATCTAAAGTGATCTAGAGTGACTAGAGTGATCTAGAGTGATCTAGAGTGATCTAGAGTGATCTAGAGTAATCTAGAGTAATCTAGAGTGATCTAGAGTGATCTAGAGTAACCTAGAGTGATCTAGAGTGATCTAGAGTGATCTAGAGTGGTCTAGAGTGATCTGGAGTAATCTAGAGTGATCTAGAGTGATCTAGAGTGGTCTAGAGTGGTCTAGAGTGATCTAGAGTGGTCTAGAGTGATCTAGAGTGATCTAGAGTGATCTAGAGTGATCTAGAGTAATCTAGAGTAATCTAGAGTGATCTAGAGTGATCTAGAGTAACCTAGAGTGATCTAAAGTGATCTAGAGTGATCTAGAGTGATCTAGAGTGATCTAGAGTGGTCTAGAGTGGTCTAGAGTGATCTAGAGTGGTCTAGAGTGATCTAGAGTGGTCTAGAGTGATCTAGAGTGATCTAGAGTGGTCTAGAGTGATCTGGAGTAATCTAGAGTGATCTAGAGTGCCAGTCCTGTTCCCCGAAAAAGATCAAACCCAGAAAAGCTACGCAAATAAAGCTTTCCATTTTAAAACTTTGCAGCAAGCCAATCTGGAGCGCACCAAAACCGTAGTTCAGTTGGTTTTAAAGAAATACAAAGAAAGCCTCTGAACAGCCTTCTGAATAGCCTTCTGAACAGCCGAATCATTATCCTTACCATCCAAATAATTGTTCCCTGGCGGAAATTTGATCACTCCCGGATTTTTCATCAGTGGACCGCACGATTTCACTGAATTTGAAGGAATTGAAAGAGAATTGAAAGAGATTTAGTGCGTTTACCGGGCACAAAGTAACACCAATTTTCACTCACATCTCACTTCTCCTTTTTTCTTGAATTGCTCGAACTTTCTCTCACTGTCCAGCGTTTCAAGAGCTAGCTGAAAGTCAGCTTTCATTAGTCAGCCTTTACTAGACAGCCTTTATTAATCAGCCTTTAATAGACAGCCTTTACTAGTCAGCATTTACTAGTCAGCTTTTATTACTCAGCCTTTTCCACTCTAACTATAAGCAAACCTCTCTTCGTCCACTCATCAAATAGTCGTACTCACAGGACGGAACGCCTTGGCACATTACCTGAATTCATTGAATTATGAAACGAACTTTGCAATCAGCTGCTTTCTGTTGTTGTTTTCTTTTTCATAATTTGCTTTTAACTAGCTTTTAGCTCATCGCTTGCGGAAAAGCATTAGCTTAGGCTTGGACTTAGGCTTGGACTTAGGCTTGGACTTAGGCTTGGACTTAGGCTTGGACTTAGGCTTGGACTTAGGCTTGGACTTAGGCTTAGGCTTAGGCTTAGGCTTGGACTTAGGCTTGGACTTAGGCTTGGACTTAGGCTTGGACTTAGGCTTGGACTTAGGCTTAGGCTTAGGCTTAGGCTTGGACTTAGGCTTGGACTTAGGCTTGGACTTAGGCTTGGACTTAGGCTTGGACTTAGGCTTGGACTTAGGCTTGGACTTAGGCTTAGGCTTAGGCTTAGGCTTGGACTTAGGCTTGGACTTAGGCTTGGACTTAGGCTTGGACTTAGGCTTGGACTTAGGCTTAGGCTTAGGCTTAGGCTTGGACTTAGGCTTGGACTTAGGCTTGGACTTAGGCTTGGACTTAGGCTTGGACTTAGGCTTGGACTTAGGCTTGGACTTAGGCTTGGACTTAGGCTTAGGCTTAGGCTTAGGCTTGGACTTAGGCTTGGACTTAGGCTTGGACTTAGGCTTGGACTTGGACTTAGGCTTAGGCTTGGACTTGGACTTAGGCTTAGGCTTAGGCTTAGGCATTCGCTTTCCGCAAGCGCCGAGCGGATGCCGCTAAGAAATACAACAAAACAAATGCCGTCAATCGTTCTCAATCTCGAAAACCTTCAGTTGAACTCTTCATTGAACTCTATTGAACTCTATTGAACTCTATTGAACTCTCTATTGAACCCTCCAGTGAACAACGTTTACAAAGTAATCCCTTATAGAAAGTGATCAGAAGTTTCAGCAGGTTTCAACAGGTTTCAGTAGATTTAATCACAAAAGTATCATAGCTTGAAGATCCTTGAAGATCAAAAGGATTCTCAAGAACTCTTCAGCTCAAGAACATTTCAGCTCACCCGAACTTCATCTCGACTAAAGACGAGACTCTCAAAATGCGAGTAATTTGATTGAAGCCACGGATCGAAAACCGGCTCGTAGAAAGGATCTGAATGGGAAAATTCTGGATTCTAGTTTCGCATTCTATATTCTCATTCTAGTTTCGCATTCTAGATTTCTAATAAGTTAAGAGAATTAGATTCCTTTACCAGCAAATGACAATGGATCATAGAGTGGACGATGTTCAGGTTGAAAAAGAGAGCCGATGTTTGGGAGAAGATCAAGACGCCCTGGAAATTGTTTAAGTTAATGTTAATGGAGTTTAAATGTTCATTTATAGAATTTGTTCAGCTTTTCAGATTTTAAGCTTTTAGGCTTTTAAGCTTTTAAGCTTTTAAACCTTTTAAACCTTTTAAACCTTTTTTTAAAACACATTTTGACTGTTTTTGCGCTAAAATGGAACGCTTAAAATAACTGAAAAAAAAAAGAAATCAATCTAGAAATCTCTTCTTCACGTTAACAACAAATTTCTTATTTAAGATCAGTTGCATGTGTTTTTGAGGCTTCATTTATATTATAAATGAAGCCTCAAATGCTATTCTTTAAAGAAAAAGGTATGGGGTTTCTTGTTGAAAAACGATTTTCTGATTTTGATCGATTTGATTTTTTTTTGATCGATTTCATCACTCAACTCTACTGATTCCATATCCAGCACAATGCCAAATAGTCCTTTTTTTCCCTACAAGCTATTTGAAAGCACAGACTTGAGTTTTATGATGAAGCGATTAACGAGAAAACGAGAAAACGAGAAAATCTCTCCATAATCTCTCCATAAACTCCCCATAATCTCCCCATAATTAAACTCACATCTCTCTCCGAACTCATAAAAGAGTTGTCGCTGATTTGAGGCTGAGTGCAAAATCCCGCATTCGGGCGTTGTGAAATCGTCGTTCGGGTTTTGATTGTAGGTACCTGAGTTTTATAAGATTCGGTTCAAGCACGGCTTAGTAGTATTGCTTCTGTTACATGCTTAGGCTTACATGCTTCTGTTTCTGCTCAAAATGTAAACACTTCCCAACTCTTTCATTTTCTTTCAGCCGACAATGAAGAGCAAGGAATGAGCGCCCAAGAAAAAGTGCATTTACAAATGAATACAAACTACACTAGAAGCAGGTTTGTGCACTCAAGGACTATCTGATTCAATTCGGATCTCATCTGGGTAACGGATAACGGAGGGGGAGGGAGGAAGAGGGAGGAAGAGGAGGAGGAGGAGGGAAGAGGGAGGAAGGGAGGAGGGAGGGGGGAGGAGGAGGAGGAGGAGGAGGGGGAGGAGGAGGAGGAGGAGGAGGAGGAAGAGAGGAGGAAGAGGAGGAGGAAGAGGAAGAGGAAGAGGAGGAGGAAGAGGGAGAGAGGAGGAGGAGGAGGAGGGAGGAGGAGGGGAGGAGGGAGGGGGGAGAAGGAGGGAGGGAGGAAGAGAAGGAGGAGGAAGGAGGAGGGAGGGAGGGGGGGGAGAAGGAGGAGGGGAGGGGGAGGAGGAGGAGGAAGAGGGGGGGGAGGAGGGAGGAGGAGGAGGAGGAGGAGGAGGAGAGAGGAGGGGGGAAGAGGGGAAGAGGGAGGGGGAGAGAGGAGGAGGAGGGGAGGGAGAGGAGGAGGGAGGAGGGGAGGGAGGGAGGAGGGAGGAGGAAGAGGAGGAGGGAGGAGGGGAGGAAGAGGGGGGGGAGGAGAAGGAGGGAGGGGGGGAGGGAGGAGGAGAAAGAGGAGGAGGGGGAGGAGGAGGAGGAAGAGGAGGAGGAGGAGGAGGAAGAGGAGGATGTACTATAGTAATACAGTGATTCAGTAAAGCAGTAGTATAGTACACCCACCAAGCAATCCAACAGTTCGATACGTGTATGCGCAAGCGCCATACGGTGAAAAGAGAGCCGGATCGATCCACTGTGTCGTCGTTTCATCAAATATTGACAACAAAGACGGGGTTTCGGTTGGATGCCAGGCCATCTGTGGTTAAACGTTTAAAAATCGATCACATTGCGTACCTTTGACGTCTGATTGTACGAAGCGGGCAACGCGACGATTATATTCAACAATCCCCTCGCCTCCTCAATTTTCAATCCAACTCCCGTCGCGAACATGATCTCGATCTCCGATTGATTCATGTTACGAGGAGGGACACGCACGGTTACACCTAGAATGATTGACTGAAGATGATAGGCTGAAGATGATAGCTGAAGATGATAGCTGGAGGTGATAGGCTAGTCAGATCAAGACCAAGCTCCATCAGGCTCAGGTCTGGTATAAGTTCATTGGCTTATGCTTATGATGGCTTATGCTTATGTTGGTTGATGCTTATGATGGCTTATGCTGGCTTACAATGATGCCTGACTCAAAGCGAGACTCAGACTTCCTTTTCTTACTCATCCTGCTCCAATACCCAATCCCTACCTTGAAAAGTGTGTATCTTTTGCCAAGGCATGTCGAAAAATATCCGCACTCCATCCACGTAGACATCGGTTTTGTAGCGCCATCTGGAGTTACGGTGAGTTGAAAAAGTACAGTACAGTTTACCTAGTACAGTACAGTTTACTTAGTACATTACAAGGTACAGTACAGTTTGCTTAGTACAGTACAAAGTACAGTACCGTTTACTTAGTACAGTACGGCTTACTTAGTTCAGTACCGTTTACCTAGTACAGTACAGTTTACTTAGTACAGTACAAAGTACAGTACCGTTTACTTAGTACAGTACAAAGTACAGTACAGTTTGCTTAGTACAGTACGGCTTACTTAGTTCAGTACCGTTTACCTAGTACAGTACAGTTTACTTAGTACAGTACAAAGTACAGTACAGTTTACTTAGTACAGTACAAAGTACAGTACCGTTTACTTAGTACAGTACGGCTTACTTAGTTCAGTACCGTTTACCTAGTACAGTACAGTTTACTTAGTACAGTACAAAGTACAGTACCGCTTACTTAGTACAGTACAAAGTACAGTACAGTTTACTTAGTACAGTACAAAGTACAGTACCGTTTACTTAGTACAGTACCGTTTACTTAGTACAGTACAAAGTACAGTACCGTTTACTTAGTACAGTACAAAGTACAGTACCGTTTACTTAGTACAGTACAAAGTACAGTACCGTTTACTTAGTACAGTACAAGGTACAGTAAAGTTTACTTAGTACAGTACAAAGTACAGTATACTTAGCAGAAAATCCTGTACAGAAAATGCGACCTTCTAAAATCTTTGCGTGCGAAAACTTGCACAACCGATGAGCCATTATCTCTAGCAGCGATCCCAGTCAGAATTGAAGCTTTCACTGGTTCTTCCCCTATAAAAGAATCAATAGAATGCAATCCACAGTAATCCAGTAACAGATCGAATGCACAATAAACCATTTCCTCTTTCTAAACCTACAGTAATCCATTCACTATCTAAAATCTTTATTTTAACATTTTCGACTAACAAATTGTATCCGCCGGCTGCTCCATTCGTCCTTGTATCATTAAATCGTGTCGCGGGGATTTCATCATGCTAAAGAGCTCACTTTTTAGGGATTATAGAGACTCATAGAGATTTCATAGAGATTCTATAGAGATTTCATAGAGATTCATAGAGATTACAATTAGATTTATATAGAGATCTTTGTACATCTATATCTATTTATCTTTTTCCACATTTACCTCAAAACATAGTACCCTTTGCCGTGGAAAGAAAAACGAGTGCCGTCATAGGTTGTGAAATGATTCTCGCCGTAGATGTAACCTGAAAACGAGTTGCCATCTGACGATAAATCTGCACTTTGTGCTCGTAAACACGAGTTTTCTGGCGTACAATAGAAAGATATATGCTATCGAAATAACTACCAATGACAGGCGGTCGATATTCTTGACAAGTCGACGTTTGTCGACGCCAAAAGAAGAATTCACAGTGACCAGCCCACTGAAAAGTTTCAATTGAAGGCTAATTTCAATTTTAAATTCTAAATTTATGCTAAATAATGCTTGAATGCTTGAATGCTTAAATGATTAAAGGCTTAAAGGCTTAAATGCTAATTCAAACAGATTTTTAAGCCGATCCAATGAAAACAACACGAGAGACTAAGCCTAAGCTAAGCCTAAGCTAAGCCTAAGCTAAGCCTAAGCTAAGCCTAAGCTAAGCCTAAGCTAAGCCTAAGCTAAGCCTAAGCTAAGCCTAAGCTAAGCCTAAGCTAAGCCTAAGCTAAGCCTAAGCTAAGCCTGAGCCTAAGCTAAGCTAAGCCAAGCCTAAGCTGCTAAGCTAAGCCTAGCAGGCCCAAGCTAAGCCTAAGGGCCTGGCTAGCCTAAGCTGGCCTGGCCAGGCCTAAGCAGAAGCAGCAAGCTGGCTGGCGGCCTAGCGGCCCAGGCTAGGCCTGGCTAAGCCTAAGCCAAGCCCAAGCTAAGCCCGAGCTAGGCTAAGCCTAAGCTAGGCTAAGCCAGCCTAAGCTAAGCCTAGCTAGGCCTAGCGGCCTAAGCTCTAAGCTAAGCCTAAGCTAGGCCTAAGCTGCAAGCCTAAGCTAAGCTAAGCCTAAGCTAAGCCTAAGCCTAAGCCTGAGTCTAGCTAAGCCTAAGCTAAGCCTAAGCTAAGCCTAAGCTAAGCCTAAGCTAAGCCTAAGCTAAGCCTAAGCTAAGCCTAAGCTAAGCCTAAGCCCTTCAACGAGCCAACACGAGCCAAACAACTTCAATCTGATCAATCAACAATTGTTCGCCATTTGGAAATCAGAAAGACCAATCGTAATAGAGGATCGGTTTCACATGAATTGAGCACCGAGAATCTAGGGGCACGCGTTTCAATCAGCCAGACCTTGCTCCTCAAGTTGAGAAGAAGCTTTCCATATCCTGCTTCTCAAGTCGATCAGCCATATCCTTCTCGCTATGGCTTCTTAAGTCGTCTTCTTAAGTCGTCTCCCTAAGTCGATCAGCTTCTTAAGTCAATCAGCTTCTTAAGTCGTCTCCTTAAGTCAATCAGCTTCTTAAGTCTTCTCCTTAAGTCGATCAGCTTCTTAAGTCGAAAAGAAGCCACTCTTTCGAGAATATCTTGACGATGACAATGGATTCACTTAGATAACACTTCTCAAAAAAGACAATGGCTCAACAAGGGTCAAATGCCAATTCCAATTTCAAAGCCATGGGCACAAAGTGACGTCTTGCTGTTGTCTTGCTGGTGGAATATTGTTTATTTCTAAATATTAGAGCTGAGAAGAAGAGTTGGTTGACGTTGAACAGCTCAAGAAGGTTAATTAAATTCTGATTAAATTAAATGTTTGTAAAAAACGGGAATTAGTATTGCTAGTATTGCTAGTGCTAGTAGCTAGTAAATCAAGCAGTATCGCTAGTAAATCAAGCAGTATTGCTAGTACTAGTATTGCTAGTAAATCGAGCAGTATTGCTAGTGCTAGTATTGCTAGTAAGTCAAGAACTATTCCTAGTGCTAGTAGCTAGTAAATCAAGCAAACCTTGCAACAGAAATCATACGGTAAGAGATCATTGTAGAAATTGGACATTGTTGGTACATATGGAGGACGTTTATATGGATATGAACCAAATGGATGAGCTCTGTGGTAGAAGATTATCGATTGTTCTTCGAATTGCTTCGAATTTCTTCGAATTTCAAACCTGTATGGCACTCCAGCCGAATAAAAGCGAAGATATTGATCGTTGAACTCGAAATCGTCACTGAAAATGAGCTGTCCTTGCTGTGAAAATGAGCTGTTTAAAAAAGAAAACGCGAGTTTTCTCGTGAAATGCAAGAATGGGCCAGAAATGGGTCAGAAATGGGCCAGAAAGCGGTCGTTTAGACGGGCTAGACAAAGTGCTATTAACTAATTAACTATTAGTTCGAAATTGAAGAATATGGCACTGATTCACCTGAACATCAGCCATCCCTCGTAGTCGTAGCAGCACATTTGACCAGCGCCAGTCCAGCTATAGAGCTTTAATGGAAAACAGCCAAAGCAGGGCCTGGGTTTACCAAATTAGTGACCATTTACTATCTAGCATTTAAAAATTAGTATTTATCTAGTATTTTGCCAAAAGGAGTTAGCAGTTTAGCATCGAGTTTAGCAATTTATCTTTGAAAATCGATAGCAATTTGATATTTAGCAGCTTTGCTAAATAGCAATTTAGCAATTGGTGAACCCAGGCTCAGTTTACTGAATAACTACCGAACTTCGAGTTCAACTTACACAGCCGCACTACTAATCACACAGTGCAAAGCTCCTTGCGTTCTCGTACAAGAGTGATCGCCACTCATATCACATTCTGGATGAGCCGTAAAGCGACCGAAATCGAGTTGAGCTTGTGAGAGAGTGCATGGACAAGGCACTGAAATTGTACCAGTGTCAGAACAAAGCCAGGCTTGGCCTTGGTCTAACCCTAGCCAGGCTTGGCCTTGGTCTAACCCTAGCTAGGCCTGGCCTTGGTCTAACCCTAGCCTGGCCTGGCCTTGGTCTAACCCTAGCCTGGCCTGGCCTTGGTCTAACCCTAGCTAGGCCTGGCCTTGGTCTAACCCTAGCTAGGCCTGGCCTTGGTCTAACCCTAGCCTGGCCTGGCCTTGGTCTAACCCTAGCTAGGCCTGGCCTTGGTCTAACCCTAGCCTGGCCTGGCCTTGGTCTAACCCTAGCTAGGCCTGGCCTTGGTCTAACCCTAGCCAGGCTTGGCCTTGGTCTAACCCTAGCCAGGCTTGACCTTGGTCTAATGCTAGCCAGGCTTGACCTTGGTCTAACCTTAGCCAGGCTTGGCCTTGGTCTAACCCTAGCCTGGCCTGGCCTTGGTCTGACCCTAGCCTGGCCTGCCCTGGCTAATCCAAGCCTAACCGGTTAACTTTTACAATCCCCACCATTCGGCTCTAGCTCCATAATGAAATTCTCTCGTCGACCGTCCCAATCAAACCATTCCTAAATTCAAGTTATATCCAGATTCAGATCTATCATTCTACCTGACAAAGCCTCAACGGCCATTCCCGTCCCCATTCGTATTCCCATCGTTTATGAAAGAACCATCCAAAGGGGATTGGCTCGGACCAATGCATACTGAAAATAGTTAATGGATTTTAGAATACGTTAAGATAAGTAGCCGTTAAGATAAGTAGCCGTTAAGATAAGTAGCCGTTAAGATAGCTAAGTATTGAACAAAACTAGTAACGTAAAACTCTTTGTGAAAGAACTTTTCTAGGTAAAGAGAAAGATAAAAGGTTTCAAAATCGTTGTATGTGCTCACATATCTCCCCGATCCTCGAGTATCATGTCAGCGACACGAACTTGAACGACACCGCCACGGTAGAATCTGAAAGTGAGGTGATGATGGACAAAGAAAAAGATGGATTTATTTGACTCTGACTCGAGTTAAGAATGTGTTAACCGGGTTTTAAAGTCGTTAAGGCTTTAAGGGGGTTTTAAAGTCACAGACTTTGTCCAGGTCTAGAACAAGCTTCAACCTTTACAGTCACCTGCTCTGGGTCACCTGCTCTGGGTCAACTGCTCTGGGTCAACTGCTCAACAGTCAACTGCTCAACAGTCAACTGCTCAACAGTCAACTGCTCAACAGTCAACTGCTCAACAGTCAACTGCTCAACAGTCAACTGCTCAACAGTCAACTGCTCAACAGTCAACTGCTCAACAGTCAACTGCTCAACAGTCAACTGCCTGAGCCTAACCCAATCATTGATCTGAACCAGGTTCAACCCAGGCTAGCACTATAGCCAGGAGCTGTTGGGAAAGAGCTGTTGAAGAATTACTCTCATCTGGAAATCTCAGAGCTGTCAGGGAAATTTGTAAAATAACTTTTTCAATGTATTTCACTTAACCATCATCTTTAAGCTGCTAAAAAGCTGATAAAAAACTGTTTTATTCATTAAAATCCCATATTTTCTTGATGTTTTATCCATAAAAATTATCAAAACTGTGATTGGATTAATGTTTTTGTTAAATCTTTTAATATTAGCAATATCTTTTCTCTTTTTCTTTTCTCTTTTTCTTTTCCTTTCTCACCTCCACGCATCGATATCAGCTTCGAAATCAGTTTGCATTGTGCGTGGGGTGAATGTGTAAGCTCCATTGTTTGGATGTCGACGAGCTATGTAACCGATCTAAAAATCTCATAGATCTAGATCTCATAGATTAGATCTAGATCTCATAGAAAAGAGACCTAGATCTGTGTCTTAATCTAGACCTGAACTAGATCTGAGCTAGAAAATAGAGCTAGATCTGAGTCTACTTTTATATCCTTTCATCTACTTTCATCTACTTTCATCTACTTTACCTGTTTAAAGCTGTGCCCTTCAACGTCCTCCCAATAACCATAAAGAGCAATGTCCACCTAAAAAGCCTTTTAAAGCATTTTAAAGCATTTTAAAGCCTTTTAAAGCCCTTTAAAGCATTTTAAAGCCTTTTAAAGCATTTTAAAGCATTTTAAAGCCTTTTAAAGCCTTTTAAAGCATTTTAAAGCATTTTAAAGCCTTTTAAAGCCCTTTAAAGCATTTTAAAGCCTTTTAAAGCCCTTTAAAGCATTTTAAAGCCTTTTAAAGCATTTTAAAGCATTTTAAAGCCTTTTAAAGCCTTTTAAAGCATTTTAAAGCATTTTAAAGCTTTAGTCTTTTAAAAGAAATCTTATAAAAGCTAAAGTTCTTTTATCTAGACAAACGATTCTATAAACTCTTCTATAATCAATTCTATCTCTTTTCTTTATCATTCTTCTACCTGTGTATTCGGATTACTCGTTATATTCTCCCATTCCCAATGCACTGTCAAATTCTCGGCCTCCCATGCGTGCCAATTGTTGTGAGGCTGGGAAATTGAATATTACGAGAATTGTTAAAGCTAGCTATGTTACAGCTATCTATGCTACAGCTATCTATGTAGCCGAAGAAAGTTTTCAGGCTACATGTTTTGAGACTAACGTGTTGATCTCTTGAGTTAAAGAGGGCTTGGCGTGACTAACGTCACTCGCGCCTCCTCCTCCACTCTTCTGAGATCCCTGTAGCAATAACAATAACAATAACTTCACCATGAGACAACTCAAATTTGAATACTTCAACTCCATGCTTGAAAAAGTCTAAAAGAAAAAGTTTGGAACAAACGGGAATCGAACTCGACACTCCCTTAGAGCAGTTTTGTAAACGGGATGCTAACCACCTCAACCACGCTCAGGCATGGAGTTGAAGTTCAAAGGCCGCAGTAGGCCAATTCAAAGGCCGCAGAAGGCCAATTCAAAAGCCACAGAAGGCCAATTCAAAGGCCGCAGAAGACCAATTCAAAGGCCGCAGAAGACCAATTCAAAGGCCGCAGTAGGCAAAAAGGATCCCTAAGCTAAGTGGTTTAAAGTTTTTCTGATTTTTGACGGGTTTTTGATGAAAAACTTGTTTTGATCACAAGCATGTACCTATTCTTTTTTAATTCCCTATCGATCAAAAAAAAGTTTGTCGAAATCGGTTCATGTGGAGCCGAGATCCAGAGTGTGACGGACGAACGGACAGACAGACAGACGGACGCTTCTCTTTTATATATAGTAGATTAAGTTATTCAATCCAGAAGGCCCAGATATTTCCTTCTTTCTTTCTTTCTTTCTTTCTTCCTTCCTTTCTTCCTTACTGCTTTCTGCCCTTCTTTCTTTCTATCTTTCTTGCTTCCTTCCCCCTTCCCCCTTGACTTTCCCTCTTTCTCTTGGTAAGTTAAGATATCGGATAGCTGAGTGATTAGAGCTCAGATGACCGGAAAGCGAAAGATCGATGGAAGCCTGCAACTGAGATCTACAAAGATTTATCAACGAAAATTTATCAACGACGAAAATCCCCTCTCCAAAAATCGACTTTTTCTTGTCAATTCGTTCTTTATTCCCTAGCTATTCAATTCAGAAGTCAGAGCTTTGTTTATGGAATGGAAATACCTGTCTCACATCGTTGATAAGGTTGACTCGACGTTGCGCGAGACCGGGTTGTACTGCAAAACGTTTGTTTTGTCTTTTTTTAACCTTTTCTCTAAGCCGAAGCCTAAGCCTAAGCCTGAGCCTAAAATTTGCCGTAAAGCCAAGTTTTTCTACAATATTTGCATTTCAAAGCGACTCACAAACGTAGAATTTTGTCCACCACGCGTAATTCTTGCCTCCGTCGACAGAAAGTCGCAAATCGACAAGGCCTGTTCGGAAAACCCGATTCACTGGGATTACACAACGAACGAAAATCATGTCGATCTGAAAGCACAGAAATTTTAGTCGATATTATGAAGCACAGAAATCTCTAGAGTCTCTAGAATCTCTTTAGTCACCCAAACTCGTCTTGACACCATTCTCGGCCGTGTATCTACTGCTTGGTGAACGGCTGTAGCTGGGAGACTTCAGCAATTACAGTGGTACAAGTTCAATTGACCATTCAATTGACCATTCAATTGCCCATTCAATTGGTCATTCAATTGGTCATTCAATTAGATTCAATTGACCACTCAATTGACCATTCAATTCACCACTCAATTGACCATTCAATTCACCACTCAATTGACCATTCAATTCACCACTCAATTGGCCGTCACTTCTCTACCGTACCCTCTCACAATCCACAGTCAACTCATCGAATTGCAGCTTTGGCACATCAGTCAACCGAAAACACGGCCCGCTCACATTCAACGCGAATCCCCCCAACATGTTTCCGTACTCTTGCGAGAGTTTCAACGATCCTGAATTTCAAATCAATGAGTTTTAAAAGTTGAAAGAAGCAGCTCGATTAACCGATATTATTTGTTATTTTTGTTATTTTTGTTATTTTTGTTATTTTTGTTATTTTTGTTATTTTTTACTAAATTCTGCTAAGTCTACTATTTTTCTTGTAAAAATTATGATTGTTCTCGAAAATCTGTTCTCGAAAATCTGTTCTCAAAAATCTGTTCTCGAAAATGTTCTCGAAAATCTTTTAGAAACATCTGATGGCAAAAATTATTTTACATAAAAATTTGCCATTCAATCTGAATATTTAGAGTTTAAAATATGTGATTTTATTTGAAATCTCTGCGCTTTGTGTTTTTGCAAAAAAGAGAAGAGGTTTGATTTTGATGAGTTGCTTCTTTTAACTCTTAAAACTTAAAGAAACCATTTAAATTTTAAATTTAGATTTAAAGCCTTTAGAATCTAATATTTTGATCATTTTTGGAGGCGCAAACCCCATTGGATGGTTTATTCTTTGAAAATAGGAAGCGTATTGGAACCGTATTGGAACCGTATTGGAACCGTATTGGAACCGTATTAGATCAAAATAGGAAGCGTATTGGAACCGTATTCAAACCGTATTGGAGCCGTATTGGAACTGTATTGGAACCGTATTAGATCAAAATAGGAACCGTATTGGAACCGTATTAGATCAAAATAGGAAGCGTATTGGAACCGTATTGGAACCGTATTGGAACCTTATTGGAACTGTATTGGAACCGTATTAGATCAAAATAGGAACCGTATTGGAACCTTATTGGAATCGTATTGGAACCGTATTGGAACCGTATTGGAACCGTATTAGGTCAAAATAGGAAGCGTATTGGAACCGTATTGGAACCGTATTGGAACCGTATTGGAACCTTATTGGAACTGTATTGGAACCGTATTAGATCAAAATAGGAGCTGTATTGGAACCGTATTGGAACCGTATTAGATCAAAATAGGAAGCGTATTGGAACCTTATTGGAACCGTATTGAAAGCGCTCAAGAAAGCATGGGAAGATCTTGATCCTGTGCCTGTGAGCCTGTGATACCCTGTGATCTAGATCCTGTGCCTGTGAGCCTTGGTTAGACAAAGTTATAGGCCTTCAAAGTGTGACGACCCGTTTAAAATCCCGGATTCTTTCAAAATACCCGGATTCTTTCAAAAAAACCCCAAAATAACGCAAGAGCCGGTATTTTTATGTAGTCCATCTGAAGATCTAGTCAAAAAGCTTTGCCCTGATGCTTCCTGATCACCAAAAAGCTTTGCCCGGATGCTTCCTGATCACCTGGACAAACCTCTTGAATCATTATTGCATCCACCGTACTGAATGTACTCATCAACACGCGCCAGCCATCTACCAGCAATCTGAGAGCTGCCGAAACGGACCTGACATTTCGGAGAGTTTAAGAGTTTAATCGTTTTATTGGGATTTCAAAATTAAAATCTTTTTACGATAAAAGCTACCAATTTATATGAATCTCCATCAGCAGAAAATGGCATTTCATACCATCCAGTACCGTTTCCCCCATTGAAACCAACCTGAAATTATCTTTGAGTTGATATTGATAGCTGTAAATTGTTAAGAAAGCTTTGAATGGTTAAAGAAAGCTTTAAATTGATCACTTTATTGCTCTAGCTAAAGATCCTATAGTACGGAAGTATGGCTTTCTAAGAGTCGACTTCTAAGAGTCGTCATAAAACTCAGCAGCTCTGGTCGTCGTTAAACCTATCGTAATCGACTAAAATCTACAATAATATCATACAAAAATGATCCCAGAGAATCAGCTTTAAAAACTGTACTGTACTGTACTGTACTGTACTTTAAAAAACTAAGTTTTCCAAGTTTTCTATGAAGAAAAATGGCAGAGAACGAAAAATAGCTTTCAAGTAGCTTTCAACTCATTCCGGAGCTTGTAAAATGAGTTGTATAGCTCCAAACGACAAAATTTGAAAAGAGAAATGTAGCTAAGATTAAGGGCTTTAATATTTTAAATAACATTTAACATATTAGCATTGGATTTTGATAGCTAAGCTATCAAAAAGAAATCGTAAATACTGAACACCCTGATCGCTGACAGTTGCTGACAAGGAAACCATAGATATTTATTGCTGATTGCCCCCAAAATTGGTGGATAGATAGAATCGATGTTGGGGAAGAACATATTAAAAATTCAGCTTTAAAGCTTTAAGATTGCGATAGTTATAGTGTTTAAAAGTAGGTAGGATTTGGTAAAGTTTTGGTAAGATTTGGAGTCTTTGGGCTCTCCGGGTCTCTTTGCAATGATTTAGCGGCTAGTTAGGAGGCCGGGGGAGCGTCCCGGTGGTCTAGTGGTAGTGCGTTCAGTTACGAAGCGGAAGGGTGCCTCGGGGTCGCGGGTTCGACTCCGGCCATGAGATATTTGCTCCTTATTCGTTTTCTTATTTTTTTTTCTTATTTCTTTCCCTATTTGCTGGCAAGTCTACAATGTCGAGTCTGGAGTCTGCAACGTTTGCCATGGGTCTACAACGTTTGCAACGAGTCTGCAACGTCTGCAACGAGTCTGGAACGTCTGCAACGAGTCTGCAACGAGTCTGGAACGTTTGCAACTAGTCTGAAACGTCTGCAACGTCTGCAACGAGTCTGGAACGTCTGCAACGAGTCTGCAACGTCTGTAACGTTTGCAACGACTCTGCAACGAGTCTGCAACGTTTGCAACGTCTGCAACGACGTCTGCAACAAGTCTGCAACGTCTGCAACGAGTCTGAAGTCTGCAACGAACCAGCGCACTCTGTTTCCCTCCTCTTCCTCTCGTCAAACTCCCAGACATTGTACTCGATGTCCAATTGATATGTGCATAATTGAGCATGACATAGGATCGAATCTCATCCGTTGCAATTACCAATTGATACGTGTTTTGCTGGAAAGAAATGTGATAATCATTGATTTCTTCAAACCCAGCGTTTCGCTTGTTCGTATTGATCAAGTCGAGTGACTTTTGGCGCTCCACCATAGCTCATTCGTTCCCAGGTTACTGAAATTTACTTTAAACTCGTAAACACAACTTTTCTAGTGTATAGGCACAGGCAGAAAGGCACAAAAGGCCGACGGAGGAGTGGAACTAGAGACTGGAATTTGAGCTTTGCCTCAAGTTCCAGTCCAAAGCTTCTAACCCATCGCCATTCGGCTACCACTGCTTTCTGAAGCCGCTGGGAAATCAGCTTATAAACTTGCTGATAAGCTCGATGTTTTTAAACCCTACACCCTATCAAATCCTATCAAATCCTATCAAATTCAAAACTTTGCAAGCTTATAACTTTTGATAGAGTGCTCCAAAATAGAAACAGAAACCAGATTCGGATTCAGCGTAAAATTCTGCATCGACTAGCTATGCCATTTGGCCACTAGACCTAGTTGAAATGCCCTTATTACTTCATTTTTTAATGGCAAGTGATTTTTAAATGTTAAAACTCTGAAACAAACCAATCATCGCATAGTCGGCTTTCCATCCTCTTGCGCCAACCATTGAGTGACGGATGTCACTGAAAATAAGCTATGAAAAATTCTTTTACACTAAGATTACTGCTTAGAGCTTTACTGCTTAGAGCTTTACTGCTTAGCTTTACTGCTTAGCTTTACTGCTTAGCTTTGCTGCTTAGCTTTGCTGCTTAGCTTTACTGCTTAGCTTTGCTGCTTAGCTTTGCTGCTTAGCTTTACTGCTTAGCTTTGCTGCTTAGCTTTACTACTTAGCTTTACTACTTAGCTTTACTGCTTGCTTTACTGCTTGCTTTACTGCTTAAAGTTTTAGCTTTACTTTAGCTAAATCGTCTGCAACGAACCAGCGCTTTAGTTTTAGTTTCTTTAGTTTTAGCTAAATCTCCTGTGATACATGTAATTTGATAGTAACAACTAAACAAACTGTGTAATTTGATCAAGCATTTCCGGATCCTCCAATCGTCCCTCTTCCGTTTTCAGCTGACGGCCTCGATAAGTACGGTAATATCTATAGATTAGATCCCTTTTTGATCTATAGATTAGATCCCTTTCAAACAAATAATGCACAAACAAAAGCACAATCTCTTAGGCTTAAATGTAGAAAAGAAAAGCTCAGCTCAGCCGACTGGCTATGAAAAAAGTTAGCTGGATTGGCTCAGGCTTAGGCTTAGGCTTAGAGCCTGAGCCTGAGCCTGAGCTCGAGCCTGAGCTCGAGCCTGAGCTAAAAAAGCTACTAATCTAGCCAGCTGGATTGAACCTTGCTCTCGACTAACTTCCGATTAGCATAAGCGACTCTTAGCCAGTCCATGGCGGCTTTTGTAAAGCTGTATTTCTTGATTACCTTGGATCCTTATAGCTGAACACTCCTTGTGGTTGACTGATCCCTCCGGGTGGTTCCATATCTCGTGGACGAAGATCCGTTTGCAAATTGTTATATCCAATGAGATTCGACGGTCTGAAAAGGTTATTTGTTATCTAATTTAGCCTATTTAGCCTTGATAAGGAAATATCTAAAAAAGAAGATTTGCCTCTTACCTCTCTAAAATACGATACCAAACATTTGAAATCCTTGTGTCGCCAACGTGTTGCATTTGTTGATCAGCCATAAAAGCAGCTAAATTAATGAAACTGGAAGATGAGGAAAGGGACAGTTCAAGGGTACTCTGAAAGGCTTTAAAGATATTTAGGAGTATTGTATTAGGTTGATGCAAAAGTCTTTTTCATTTTTTTCGTACTTCTTTTGAAAAATAGCAAAGTCATCAATTAACCTATGGTTTGCTCTAAATGAAAAGTGTTTATTGTTCAATTTCCCATCTTTTTAAGTCAATTTGGGTTCACTTTCAAGCAAATTCGAGAGTGAAAACGGGTTTTTCATAAAAATCTAGACATAAGACATTTTAAACTCGTTTTAATGTCATTTTGCAGAAAAATAATTGGCCTTTCGAATGCAATAAACCGTTGTTCAATTGGTGCATTTGTTACTTTTTAACGGAAGTACGAAAAAAATGAAAAAGACTTTTGCATCAACCTAATAGTTACCCTGTAAGGCTTTAATGACATTCAGGGTACAGTTCTAGGGTACTGCAATTACCCTGTAACTCATACTGGAAGGTCCACTGGCTGAACAACTGGTCAAATGCCAGCCAAGTGCTATCCGACCCATACCATTCGACGCAAAATTTGATGCTGATTCCGAATATATATCCCCTTTTTGCTAAATGACAATCTGTCGGGAGTTCTAAGTGTCTAAAGTTTTGTTAGTGGTCGTTTGGGTCGTTTGGGTTAGAAAATGTGGTCATTTGGGTCTTAGCGGCCTCCTTGCGGATCAAACTTGGCCAGTGATCATGTCGATTGATCAACATTACCTAATGGCTTCATATATGGAAAGCGATACGCCAAATAGAATACGATTTTGCGAGCGCACAAAGAACTTCTTGGAAAAAGCAAAGGACTCCATCACTTGGCCATAGCTGCACGGAATCGAGTCCACAAGGAGGTCGCTAGAAGGCCACAAGGTGACCGCTAAGACCCAAATGACCCAAATCATAGTCCTACTAACTTTATACGCTTATAACTCCTGATAGATTATCATTTAACAAAAACAGAATATAGATTCGGAATCAGCATCAAATTCTGCGTCGAATGGTATAGGTTGCATAGCATTTCGCTCAGCCAGTTCACCTTTGATTGTTAGAATTATAAGACTACGATAAAGTTACAGTAAGACAAGGGTACAGTAGGGTAAACTCATCTTTTCAACCCTCATTCAACCCACCGATAATCGCTGGATCTGGTTTCTTTGGCCAATGTGGATTAGGAAAAGTGTAGGGTGGTTGGATAAACCATGGATTCGAAAAAGCGATGAAACCTTCGTGAAAAAGCTAAGTTTTATTGTAAAGAGAGATAAATTAGAGATAAATTCTATTTACAAAAGTGTAATTGAAGCGAAAACCATAATATGGGAAGAAGAAATCGAGATCGATTTGTTTGTCCATCCCTGAAAAGTCATTCTTTCTGCTTAAAGTCATTCTTTCCGCTGAACTCACATGGACGATGCGATAACTGAGCGTCCAAGAAGCGCTCACCGAATGGATACAAATGCCACCAACCTAAGAATTTCAAAATTGAATTTGATCTGATTAAGGGATTTTTTTTTCAATCCACTTTCAGAACAAATTAGTTGCATAAAATTATAGCTAGATTTCTATTAAAGTACGGTTTTAAGCAGCAAAAAGCAGCCAAAAAACAGCAAAAAGCAGCCAAAAAACAGCAAAAAGCGGCAAAAAGCAGCAAAAAGCATCAAAAAGCAGCAAAAAGCAGCAAAAAAACAGCAAAAAAACAGCAAAAAGCAGCAATAAGCAGCAAAAAGCAGCAAAACAACAGCAAAAAGCAGCAATAAGCAGCAAAAAGCAGCAAAACAACAGCAAAAAGCAGCAAAAAGCAGCAAAAATTCGCTAGAAATTGATGAGAATTCGGGTTTTCAACGAAATTTAAGCCTGGAAATCATTTTGAATGTTTTTTATTCGATAGATTCAAGTTAAATTCCTATTGACGTGCGGTTTTAAGCGACTGACGCGAAAACGGCGCGGCGTGTTTTCTAAAGCGTGGATATCTACCGTACCCCGGACAAAATTCCTCTTTTGCCATTATTTTCATTTTCCCGATTCGTTCTCGCGCCGAATTTTTCGCACTACTTTCATCATTTTGCATGTTTTTTATGCTTTTGCTCTTGTTTTTGTTTCTGTTTTATTTTTTTATACGTAAAGTAGTCTAGAAGTAGCTATTATGCAAAAAAGCACAAAGATTTGCCATAATTTAGCGCTTTTTGATGGAAATTATTAACTTTTTCAGTTTTTCTCACTTAAATCATTGTTTTTTATGCTTTTGCTCTTGTTTGCCTCCTGTTTCATTTCTTTTATACATAAAGCAGGTCTAGAAGTAGCTATTATGCGAAAAAGCGCAAAGATTTGCCATAATTTAGCGCCTTTTGATGGAAATTATTAACTTTTTCAGTTTTTCTCGCTCAAATCATTGTTTTTTAATGCTTTTGCTCTTGTTTTTGTTTATGTTTTATTTTTTATACATAAAGCAGTCTAGAAGTAGCTATTACGCAAAAAGGCACAAAGACTTGCCATAATTTGGCGCTTTTTGATGGAAATTATTAACTTTCACAGCTTTTCTCACTTAAATCATTGTTTTTTATGCTTTTGCTCTTGTTTGCCTCCTGTTTTATTTCTTTTATACATAAAGTAGTCTAGAAGTAGCTATTAAACACAAAGATTTGCAAAAAGCGCAAAGATTTGCCATAGTTTAGCGCTTTTTGAGGGAAATGATTAACTTTTACAGTTTTTCTCGCTCAAATCATTGTTTTTTCCATTTCATGAGGGAATCAGAAACTTTGTCCAGCTTTTACACCGAGCCCCGCTAAGTTTTCTTCCCTCCTTCGTAAAATCTATTATGTTTTTGTAGCGCGTTTTTAAAGTGCTCTCGCTCCCTCGTTCGTTCCCTCCTTTTTATATTTTTGCCCATAATTTGGTGTTTAAAATTCTAATACGGTTTTATTTCGTTTTCTTTTTGGCTCCTTCCACTCTATTGTTTTAAATCCATCCATTCACAAATTCACAAATGCCATTTAAATTCAGCTTAACTAATTTCTTTTAACTATTAGGTACTTGCAAAAGAAACTGTGGGCCAAAAAAGCTACCATACAACGATTGTAAGTAAAGATGATTGGGTTGATTAGTATTTTTAAAAACTCAAATAATTTCTCTTTCTAACGATATATAAAGAATTTTACGAAGCTTCGTTTTGGAAGGCCAGTGGAATTTCCAAAAAAGGCACTAAAAACGGCCTAGCGGGGCCGAATTTCAGCTCAAGATTTCTCCACGGTTTTTTAATAAATGTTTTGTCACTGATATGAAATGGAAAAGTTTGCTAACTAAAACAAATAAGATACAAATTTACAAATAGCTTTTATTAAGTTCGAGCTCTTGATCTGTCAATAATTTAGACCAGGTGTTGGTCAAAAAATAATCCTTTGTTATAAGTTTAAGCCGCCGCCAAGTCGTTTTTTGGTACCTTTTTGAAACGTCTATATTCCGCTCAGAAATAATCACTGCAGACTTCTTTTTATATCGTTAAAAAGAGAAGATATTGGGGTTTCTAAAAACACTAATCAACCCGAATCCTCTTTACTTACAGTCGTTGTATAATGATTTTTATGACCCGTAGTTTCTTTTTCAAGTACCTAATAAAACGCAAATCTAAATAATCGGTGCGATGCTTTTGTTATTTCGTCTTTGGTTTTGTGTCAAATCATTTTTAAAAAAGGGTTGCTAAGTTTAAAGATGTTAGGCAAGGGAGTTACTAACTCTATAACTCACCCTCTTCGGTTCTTCGATCAATCTGTGACCAATCGATTTCCCGAATCATTTCCGCGGTGATTCTCGGTGATTGACCGGCCATTGTGAATTGATCAGTGGCTGAGTGAACGCCTAAATGTTTTCAAAATTAGTTAGACTTCACTTTACACAAGCTTCACTACTTTACTAATCTAAACAGATGAATTAGCGCTTGTTGCCATTTAGCTACCTGGCTGCCCAATATTGGTGACAGTATTCAGAAATATGAGTTGACTGCTGGTGAGCGGATCGATGCTTTGTGGGGCAACAGCCGTGTTCTTGTTGTTGACAATCCCTTAAACGCAAAAGACTTTCTGCACAGCCTTATATCGTCCTTAAACACACTTTAAATGCTGAATTGTGCTGCCATTAAGTGACGGTCAGCCATCTAGAGGTACAGGACACAGTAATTTGTTGAAATCTACCTTGTATTTGACCAGTTCCATCTTTGATCACCAATAAAAGCAAAAATATAACAGAAAACATTTAGCATACATAAAATTGGGCACAAATTTGGTGATACTGTATGAGTGGAGAGATTCGAATGGACAATATGGGGATTAACATTGTTTGACCCCATTTCTTGTCACCTCAAAGCCTCAAAGCGACAATCATCGAGTAATCGCTTAATTGCCTGTAGCTCTGTTTTATGTTTTGTTGTGCTGTGCAATTGTTGAACTTTGTTGAACTTGAGAATCTTTATTCTACACCAAAACCAAAACCAAAGCACATCAAAGATCCATTCGATGAATCGTCGTTGTTTTTAGGATTTGATTTTCACTAAAATTTGATAAATCTAAATTTCGCATACCAAATTTGACAATATATTAAACTAGCGAAAAATTTACCCAAAAATTCGTTGTCGAATTTTGAGCGCAAAAAAGAGAAGACAAGAGGCGAGCATCGTGAGACTCAACAAAAATATCGATCCCATCACAACGACTCTAGCAAAAATATGGGATTTTTGATGGATAATGATGGAAGTTTTTTTTTATGATGCTAGAAGATGTTTAAAGAGGCTTAAAGATGCTTAAAGATAAGATTTTTCCCGTAAAATACATAAAAACTTACTCAAGAATGAGCACAAGTTTATCCCTGACATGTCCAGATGAGAGTAATTCTTCAACAGCTCTTTCCCACCATTGTTTCCCAGATTGATTGACTGCAAGATCGCCATCAAGGCCTGAATTAGTGGTAGTGGTTTTAAAAACAATAAAGGCTTTTAAAATAAAATCAACAAAGGCTTTTATTAGATTGAGTACTGGTTATTTGTAATTAAAAATGAGTTTATTAGACTGTCCAGAAAATTTCATTTTTTTTCGGATTTTCGTTCCTTTTCGTACTTTCGTTTAAAATCACCAATTAACCTATGGTTTATTTGATTAGAAAAATCAATTATTTTTCTATAAAACGGATTAAAAAGGGTTTACAAATGTCTTATTGATGGGTTCTTTTTGAGAGCATGAAGTCGGGTAGTCAAAAAGGCAGCTCGATGATGCAATTTAGACACTTTAGCTAGGAAAATAGACACTTCAGCTAAGGAAACCTATCTTTGTGTCAATAGATAAAAGATAGAGCACAAAAGGTTTGGTATATAGCCAAATTTTCAGAGAAATTTATTCAGCCAATTTCTTCGTAGAGGGTTTTAAAGGCTTTAAGATTTTGGCGAAAACACGGATTTTCACTTACGAATTTGCTTGAAAGTGAACCGAAATTAACTTTCTTTCTTTCTTTCCTTCATTCTTTCCTTCATTCCTTCCTTCCTTCCTTCCTTCCTTCCTTCCTTCCTTCCTTCCTTCCTTCCTTTCTTCTTCCCCTTTTCTTTTCTTCTTTCTCTTGGCTCTAACCGTTGAGCTATCCGATAAAGTATCGGATAGCTGAATGGTTAGAGCAATTGCCCGGAGAAAGCACGTCAAGAGTTCAATCCCCTCTCCGGAAATCTAATTTTTCTTGTCAATTTCTTTATTAAAAAGATTGGAAATTGAGAAAACCAATAAACACTTGAAAAAGAAAAATTTTACTGAGCTTTCTATACGAAATTTTATGCTCAAGCCTTAGAGTAAAGATTAATTAGAATAGATTAATTGATGAATAACAATATTTTTCAAAAAAAAGTACGAAAAGGAAACGAAAAGACTTTCTGGAAAGCCTAATAATCAAAGAAAAGAATCGAATCAAAAAAAGAAAACCGACCTGAAGCGATCATGAAAAGAAGGGAAATGGCGGAAGAAAGACGATCGCGGGACACCATCAAAAGAAAGGAAAAGAGAAATGGGACAATGAAGAAGAAGAAGGGATTCGATTGGATGAATAGATCGATGAATGGGATGAGGGAAATGATGTGATTGGGTCAAAATGAGTGATTTGGGGGAAGAGGTGACGACATCTTTCATCGAGTTGACCAGGTAAAGAAGCCCAGCTTCCCGTTGACAGATGACACTGGACACGTGGAAAACGGTGGGTCAGCTTTTGGCTAGATCATGAGACTGTATTCAACTTTTAGAATCGTTTGGGATCACTGTAAATTTTGATAAAAGTACTACAGCATACTGGAGATCAAGCACAATCTTCTGGAAATTTTTTGACTAAGCCGAAAAGAATCTCTTCTGGATTTAATAAAGATTTTGTCTTTAAGCTTAATTATTTGAAACCAGACGAAAAACTCGGTTAACAGCGGGTTTCTCTAGCCAGTGGTTTTGGGTCGCCGTTGCGCAGTCAGGAGTGGGCTTGTCTACGGCTCACAGGCTTAGGGCTTAGGCTTAGGCTTAGGCTCGACCGCCCGTAGTGCAACTCAATCTTGAATTTTTAATTTCTTATTTTAAATGGCACAACTACAAAATATTCTAAGGTTTTCTATGATTTCTAGAAGTTTTGACTTTATTGATCAAAACGCAGCAGAGAAAATCCCCGTACAGACAGACAAACAGACAGACAGACAGACAGACAAACAGACAGACAGGCAGGCAGACAGGCACACAGACAGACAGACAGGCAGGCAGGCAGGCAGGCAGGCAGGCAGACAGACAGACAGACAGGCAGGCAGGCAAACAGACAGACAGGCAGGCAGATAGGCACACAAACAAACAGACAAACAAACAAACAGACAGACACTACTCTTTTATATATAGTAAATTCCAAAGATCTGCCCGGAAATCCCTCTTTTGAATGAAAGAGATCTTTTCAAAAGAAAAGGATCTCTTTTCCTCTTTTCAAAAGCATCAATTTCACGGCTTTTCTTTCTTCTCCTTTTTCACTTCCCGAATAAACAAACAATCAAATAAACAAACAATCGAATAAACAAATAATTGTCTTCTTTTCTTTTCGTGAATCCTTGAGAACTTGATTCAATAAAACGGGATTTACAAAAAAAGCCATTTCCAAGGCTTTTGGTTCATTTACATTCTTAAAAAGGTCAAAAAGACAAGTCAAAAACTTTCAAATTCAAATAAAAAGCTTAACTGATTGTGTAAAAAAGCTAAGAAAATCCGAATCACAATGAGATCAGCTATTCAATCTTGAATCTGAAATCTGTAAATACTCTAATAGAACGCGATCTCGGGTACAGAAAATCATCTTTTAGAAAATCATTTTTTTCTCAGCTTCTAGAGTTTTCCCAATCACACTTTTGGTATCAAAAAATACTAGATTTCAAGGGCTATCATTTGACACCATGTAGCACACTGTAGCTTAAACCAGCGTGGAGAACGGGAAGTTCAAAGTTAGACTACGCGGCTGTACACCCCTCATTGGGGGTCCGCACGAAATAAGCCGAAAGAAAAAAGCGATTACCGTTAAATTTGCTTATCTAAGTGCTATTTGATTCGAGAAAAGTCGCTATTTTTCTATAAAAACGCTATTTTTCTATAAAAACCCCTATTTTTATTAAAAAATGCACGCCAAATTGCTTCTTTTACTAGCTGCCTCTACAAATTGCCTCTTTTCTTGAGGAAAAGAAAATTTTACTGAGCTTTCTATACGAGATTTTATGCTCAACCCTCTTGTGCACATTTTGAAACAAAAAAGAGATCAATTGGGTGAATCTATGAAAAGTTGAGGCATTTTGAATGTAAAATCCCCGTTTTTCAACTTTCTGAAGTGTGGGTAAACTACCGTAACCATTAAAAAAAAGACGTAAAATGATAAAACAAAAAAAATTTTTTTTTCATTTTTTGTCAAAATTTCTTTGTTTCTTTATCTTTTTTATTTCTTTATCCTTTCTTATCGTTTCTTATCGTTTCTTATCGTTTATTTATCCTTTCTTATCCTTTCTTATCCGTTCTTATCCCTTCTTATCCTTTCTTATCCTTTCTTATCGTTTATTTATCCTTTCTTATCCCTTCTTATCCTTTCTTATCCCTTCTTATCTGTTCTTATCCTTTTTTTTATCATTTACATAATTTTGTTTCCAACTAATGATTTGTTTTACAGGTAGAAGTCGTTAACAAACGCGTCAAAGAACAACTCTGCTCAAATTCAATCAAAAAACAATGGGGATTTTATTAGGTGATTCTTTTTTTTGAAAGATGATTGTTTTTATAGTATTTATGGTTTAAATGTACAAATTTAGATATGTTTGGCCAAAGATGTTTGAATATGTCTTCGAAATGATCTCTCCTTGAATATGGTCTTGAATATGCTCAGCCTCAGCTCTGGCTCTCCTCTTCCATGGAAGTTAGCAAATTTGTAGGTTGGTTGACTTTTTTTGTAATTTGTTGATATTTACCCGTCGAAACTTAAAATATTTTTTCTAAGTTTCGACGATGTTTCCCAAATGAATCAAAATCAGTCAAAAGCTCAAAAAATATTTTTTCAATTTGTTTTGCCTCTACCAGTCAATTTAAGTTAGAAAATGAATATTTAGTGGTTAAAAATGGTTTTAGCTCTACTTTTGAACTTGAAAAGTGCCCCAATAGTCGATAGCTTGAATACACAAAGTTAACGTTGAATTTAAAGTGTTTTCGACGTGTCGAAATGTCGGTTTATCGATTGAAAACCTATGCTAAAAGTGTCAAATGCGTGCTAAGCCCCCTCGATTACCCCTAGAAAAGTAAAAAAAATCAAAAATATAGGTGCCCCCCAACCACCAAAGTACCAAAAATTGAATGTAGGGATGGGCCCTCTTCTGTTTCTTCTCCAACATTCATTGTTTTCCAAAAACTCGTTCAGGTGACTACATGGGATCTAACTTTCGGTATTAGGCGCGACGTAGGCAAAGGCAAAGTTCCAATTTCTAGAGCTTCCATAGAAGTTAGCAAATTTTCGCTTTCTTCGATGATATTTGAGCAATTGTGCGCCTTTGCGCTCATTGGGCAGCAATTTTGACTTGATTGTAGTGAAAACATCGGAGAATTTGTTGAATTGATCCAAATAACTGCATAAAAATTTGTGATGGGTACAACTTTCGGTATTCGACGCGAGTAGGCAGTTTTTTCAATTTAGGATCATTCAAGCCATCGGATTTGAAGGACTTTTCGAAACCTGATCGGGTAGACAAATCTTCAAAACTTCTCTTAGCTGTTGTTTGCCGTCTCGTCTTTCATAGCTTTGAAAATTAAGTTCCCAAAACCGACTGTCAGATCGGCGGCACACATTATCTAGGCCCAATTTTCTAAACGTAAGAGCGAAGCACTCCTTTTCGACTATCAGAATCGGGAGCAACAAGGCCAAGGCAGACATCTAATGACTTTAAGCTTCTTTTGAAGCTGATATTTCGATCAAGAGGATTCTTCTGCGCAAGTTATTAGGCTGGCCGACTAGTCCGTAGATTTTTTTATTAACTTTTAAAATGTAATTTCTCAAAATCCCACAATCAATCTTTATGAAAATTTTATAGTAACTTTTAATAAAGGTAGAAGGTTTTTCTCTAAAAGATGAGGTTTCCTTCCCGTATTACTTTTTATAAAAATTGAAAAAAGTGATTTTCAATAGTTACTTAAAATAATTTTTTTTCAGTATAAAAACTATATATCAAATAATCAAATAACCACAAACCCATGTCAGAATTTTATTATGTATTTTAGCCACAAAAGAAGATAATATAGAGCCCAAGATTTTGCATTTCGAGTTTCCATTTTTATACTAACGATTCGAAGGAAAGGTGCGTTTTTTTAAAACTAAAACTAAAGCTTTATATGAAAAACGGTTCCACCAGAAAAATTTCCAGTTTTGGTTACTTCATTTTGTTTTTGGCTTCTTCATCTTTTTTATCTAAAAACTGGACTATGAAAAGTTCGATTAAAGACAGTTCCCTCAAAAGACGCCAGGAACCAACCAACTAAATCTTCGAAACTAGTTGTAGATTGCTCTCTGTACGTTGTAGTTGTATGATGTTGGTAAAAAATTTTTCAAGGATAGGTTTTATTTGCTGCAAAATGCAAAATTTTTAGAAAGATTGATGATGAGGTTTTTAAAGAGATTACACTTTAAAAGTTGATTAAAAAATTCGACGAACTTATCGGCTAGCCTACTATGTCCTAATGGAGCGCCATAGTGTTCTATTAGAATATTTATGGATTCAAATTTAAATCAAATTAGAGTAAGATTCAAAAACAAGTCAAATCCTTTCAGATGAAAAGTCTATCCATTGTAATTGTGTCATTCACCTTGATCAAAGATAAGCGAAATGGAATCTGTTGTTTGTTGGGATTTGATGGGGTCAGTGATTGAAAGGAAAAGGCACAGCTGTTCTCCCATTCTCATCTTCCCCTTTTTCCCGCCTTTCTCTCTTCTAAATCATCATTGTTGTCTTTCGATTTGGATCAAAAAAAAAAGATTTTCCATTCCATTCCAATATCTTTTCCGAATCACAAATGTTTTCTCGATTCGGGATCGAATTTCTTGTCGCATTACTGCAATTTTTTGGCTCAACTCTTGGTGATTTCGATGTGCATCTCGCGAGAAGAGCTCTCGATTTTGCGGGTTCGACTTTGATATATTTTGTATAGATATAGCCAAAGATATATTCCAAAAATAGTCATGTGTTTCTAGAAGGGATTTAGTTTACGAAATGGCAAGTTTGTGAAAGGAGAAAAATGCTTTCAAATCAAAGTAACTGAATATTTTTTTTTTGGAAAACATTTGACAAAAACACTTGACATGTCTATTTGAGGTGTGCACACACTCTTGATGGTGTAATGGATAAGAAGCTTTTAACAAGATCGAGCTCTATGCACCATTTTCCTCGGGTTCAACTCCTTTTGCAACTAAATCTTTTGCTTTTTGTTTATTTAGATATTTTTAGGCTTAATTTTGTTTTTTTAAGGAAATTTGATGGAATTTATGATAGAAAATAAAGATTATAGTACATTTTCTACGATATCTTTTCAACAATTTCTTTTCAACTCTTAAAATTCAGCCGCCTCCTACTCGGAAGACCCATGGAAATGCGTTGGGAAATACAATGGAACGGTGATGTTTCGGACAGCAATTCCGTGTGATTGGTTGAAAGATGAGGTGAGGAAATGAAGAATTGAGTGAAAAGATTTATATTTTAGTGTTGGGCCATTGTCACGAACGATACGGAATGGGTGACTGTCGCTTTCAGGTTTGTCGAAATGTTTGTGAGAATTGAGAAATACGAAATTTTCTAGTGGCACTCGATCTCGCTGGCAACTTTTTCTGGAACTCTTCGAAACGATGGGCGAACCAAAGAAAAAGGTTTGCCAGAGCAATTCTATGGACGAATATTTTATTTTTTCAAGTTGAGATGTGGTGGATCAGTTCAACACTATTTCTTCATCGCTTTGCAATCGATTTGGCCGTCGATGGAGCACGCTTTAAGGAAAATTCTCAAGGTATCGTAAAAACTCTAATAGAAACCCCAGGCGCGTTTTTATTTTTCAACTTTCCTCAACAAGGATTCCCAAAATTATGGAGCCGAAATTCGATCATTGATCTTTTGTTAATTTTCAAGAAATTTTTATAGATACCTTAAAAATCATTGAACGTAACAAAAATTTAGCAATATTCTATTTTAAGTAATGTCCGATTACATCTTCTCATGCCTTCATTCCGTGTTTTTTGGGAATTCGGTGCACTGTGGTCTTTGAGATTCCAATTGCAGCAGCCATCTTTCGGGTGGAGTTTTTCTGTGATTTCGGGTTTCTTTAGATTCGTTGAAAGATCTTTCGATGATTGATTGAATTGTTGGCAATCTTCTTTCGGCCGCGTCCTAGTCGATCTTCCAATTTCCCCAGTCTCTTTATGGTGCTTGATTGCTTTTGAAACTGTCTGGTGAGGCACGTGCAAAAGCCGCGGAAACTCCATCACTGATTTACCATCCTGTGAGAGTCCATGGCTGGCCGCGGATCCAATTGTATTTCTTCAAAAAAGCCATTACAAAAGAATTTTAGTCATACGTAAGAAGAATAAGAAGAAGATAAAACAATCAATCTGCCAAAGCAAGATCCGCTCCTTGATTTTGGGACACCCTGTCGACTGTGCTTATATTTTTCGATGCAAAAATTAAAAATCAAACAAAACTGTCGACAGATGCCATGTAAAAACCCGGCTAGAAATTCAAAATGTTTGTGATAATTTTTTGAACAACAGAAACATACTTTGGTACTAACAATTCAGTCAAAAGTTAACATTAAACAACAAAAACAAAATAGGTATACCGAGTTTAGCTTCAGCTTCAGTTATTTTTCAAAAACTCGCTTATGATCGATCGGTGTCATCAAATTCATTGTTTACGTCCATATTCAAATCAATTTAGATTAATCAGCCATGATTGATCGATTTGATTAATCAGCTCAGCAAATGATCGATCGAAAGCTTTAATGATCCGATCGGAATGGGTCCATCTTTGTCGAAGCGTACAATCTGATCATCTTCAAGGCCATCGACATCATTTCCACAAGTCTTTAATGACTTCTCGATGAGCTCCCTTGGTAAAGCTTTCCATGAGTCGACGATCCACTGCAAGGAAATTTCAATTGCCTTCATATTTCCGGCTTTTGTCTTCTCGTGATCATTCTAGAGATCTCCATCATCTCTGTCTTCGTAGAGATGACGATTTTTTACCTTTCGGCGTTCTCTTGTATATCCTCGACATCTTGAATCACGTGATCAACGTTGTCCCAATCGAGATGTGTTTGCGTCTTTTCTCAAAGAATCCAAGTTGCTCATGTTCTCGGCGATCACGAAATTCCTTGAGTCCGTCCAAATTTTCGGATTGCTCCATCAATCTAAAATATCAATCTAAAAAAAGAAAACAATAATAAACAAAGTGAGAAAATAGTGCTTAAAAGAATGAGATGCAGCCAGAAACAAGGTGCGCGAAATAAAATAGAAGTGATACTTCTAATAGAGAGTGCGCTTCTAGTTTTCGATTTCCGCCCAGATAACGCTTCTATTACGGTATACAATGTGATTTTGCATTTGATTCGGATTTGATTTGGTTTGATTTGATTCGAATCCGAAACATTTTCAGACAAGAACGAGTCGAAATGTCCTCTTTACGGGCCATTCTCTTGGTGGAGCTTTGACGGCGATAGCTTCGACCACTTTCGCTTTCCGACACCCGAGTGTCAATGTGTCGATGGTAGACTTTAAATCTAGGACTTTTCGGTCTAAACGTCAATAGGTGTCCAACGGAAAAATTGGCCATATCTTGGTCAATTTCACTATAATCTTTTTGTCTTTGATTTTATTGAAAATTAAATTCTGCGTCAATTGATATCAAAATCAAAAAGATCGGAGTGAATTTGACCGAGATATGCCATTTTTTCGTTGTACACCTATTGGCGTTCGCACCGAGGTTTAGTAGACTTCGTTCTCAGGTCTAGTCGACTCGCTATCCGATCGAGATTCTGTCGGATCGGATCAGCATCGGATCTGAGGCAATCCGATCCATCCGAGCAAGTCTAACGTGTAGTAAAAACTGATTTTAACTGAATCTTCACTGAATTGACTGAATATTTCACATTTTAATCGGATAATTTGCTCGAAAAGTAGCTAATCCTATCCTTTCTGTCGGATTGGATCGGATTCAATCGATAAGCTATAGTGAGCGATAAGCCTTGAGTACTTTGTAACAAAAATGGGCAACAATTTGCCTTTCCAAAGTCAATAGCAAATTTTCAGTACACATTTGGTGAACCTCGAGTGGGAAATGCCGAATTCGCGGCAGCTCACGATCGCTTAGTGGAAGAATCGTGGAGAGTCGTGCATCGTCGAGATCTCGTGCGTATTTGAAAATGGGTTTTTTTCCTCATTTTCCCAGGTTGCTCATATTCCGTACTGTTACGAGCATCTGTGGTCTCGTTCTTGTGGTCAACTCGCAAATCATGGACCATGGCATCATGGAACTGAGGTTTGAGTGTCTAATTTGAACCTAGAATGGAATCTAGAATCTTTGAATCTATTCAGTTTTGTTTGAATTGGGTTTAAAACTTATTCATTTTCAGGTGTGGTTCCCGGGGAATATGACAAATGGAGGTTTGTATCGGATTTGTCGAGGAACTCCGCTGAATGAAGATGATACATGCAGGTTGGTGAAATTGATTGAATAGATAAATAAAAGATTACCCTGGGATTACGGTAGCTTTTTTTCTAAGCGCATCTTTTAGAAATGTTTTCCGATAAAACAAAACAAAAACATGAAGAACAAGAAAAGTTTTCCGATCAAATGCCAATGCAGAGTGCGTGAAAAGTTCTGTTTAGTTCTCATAAAGATACCATTTGGTTCCCAGTTTGGTTCCTATTTGGTTCCCAGTTTGGTTCCTGTTGGTTCTTATTTGGTTCCCATTTTGGTTCCTATTTTGGTTCCTATTTGGTTCCATTTTGGTTCCTATTTGGTTCCTGTTGGTTCCCAAAATGGTTCGTATTTGGTTCCCATTTTGGTTCGTATTTGGTTCCTATTTGGTTCCTATTTGATCCTATTAGCTACAAAGATCATTTCTTCAGAAAAAACCAAATAAATAATCAAATAATCAAATAAAATAGCCAAAAACAGACATCAAATTTGAGATCTTTGACTATTTTTACTCTAAGAATCTTTCAAAATAAAGATTTTTATGAAAAAGCATTTCTAGGGTAAAAATAGTCAAAATTTTCAAATTGAAAACCTGTTTTTCTCTAATTTCCTTACTTCGAGCCTTACAAATGATTCTTTGAGAGAAGGCAGAACTTTTCACCCTGTATTCAGCAACTCGGCCTATCTTCGCTTCAATATTGATGATCATCGATATTATTTCGAAAAAGAGGTCAGCACACACGGAGATCTTGGATGTCCCGAATGAAAATGCCCTTTCAAAGACATATAATTTATTTTTGAGCAGAATAAATCTAAAGCACATGAATGCGATTCTAAAATTGCTATTATAAAAATGCTATTATAAAATTCAGAAAGGATCATAAAGTTAGAGGAATTAGGATGAAATGTCTTACCGCATGCGCCGTATAGGCCAGTCTTACAGTCTTATCTGATTTTCATCTCTTCAGATCGATGTAACATTCCCTTGCGAATTGGCAGTTTAAAAATGCGCAAAAGGTCGAGATTTTGGGTGGCTGACTACTTCGATCGATCAAAGAATCAAGAGTTCTTCAATAAGTGCTCAAAGTTTCAAAGTTGTATGGAATCTAGAATCCTTGGTGATCTAGAAAACAGCTTATAAGTTGATAGGGAAAGATGTCGTGGTGGCTGAGTGGTAGTGGGCTTGAATACGAGGCGAACACCGGGTTCCAGTAGCTGGGGTTCGAGTCCGGCGATTGCCTTTTTTTTCCTTCTTTTAGCTTTGAATGGTTTGAGGGTTTTGGTGATGTTGGATGACCATTATTGACTGTATATCCAGAGCAACGGTATGCCAGATGCTGTACGATTGTACTTAGAGAACACGCAAACAATTAAATGCTATTGATTGATATCTTTGAGTGTCTTGTATCAGAATCAAATCAAATCCATTCATTATGAACGATTTATTCAATTGAATATCATAAAATCAAAGAAGCACCTGTACTATAAGGCAATGGGAATTTGGCAAGAAAAGAAATGAGGAGAAAAGCACCATTGAGAAAAAGACAATCAACAATTTGATCCACGTCGACTCCCCAAATCAGGATCTGAAAGTTTTGCGTTGAATTGATCAAGTTTAGTTTTTGGGTAAGCAGTTTGACTTGTCTCAGTGATCACGAGAACTGAAAGCTATTTGAGCTATTCACGCTGAAAGCTAGCTAGTCACGATGAGCCCCTTTTGGCTTTTAGCTACCGTTTCGAGAGCTATCTACTAGCTGTAGCTCTGAAAATTTTGAACCACAGGCATTCTGGGACAGAGAATCTGAATTCGTTATTAGTTTTTGAGAAATTTTAATTTCCGAGTCAATACAGTCATCACAAAACTCTCTAAAAATTAAGCAAAAATAGAGAAAAGTTTGGGTAATTAAAACCGGATAAAATATCCAAAAATAGAGCTGTTTTCTTTAAAAACTAATAACGAATTCGATTTCTTTGATCTCGAAAATCCCTGATGCAAATTTTCAGCTCAAATCAACCTCAAAAAAGGGTTATCGGACGCCCCACTCCTTTGCTATTGGCAATCTAACTTTAAGTTCAAATATCTCGGTGTTGGACTGTTCGATTGAAACATTTTTGGTACCATTAGTTGCGCAAAGTCTTTCTCTGTCGATTGATACAAAAACTATCCAAATTGAACCGCCCAACACCGAGATATTTGAGCTTAAAGTTAGGTTGCCAATGGCAAAGGGATGGGGCGTGTATTAAATGTCCACTTTGCGTAGAAAAGGGTAAATTGGCTCTTTATAATGCAATACAATATTCAGCTAGCAAAAGCTGAATATCTTTGGCTTTCACAAAAGCTGGGGTAACTCAAGGCATTTACTCAATATCCCCCGTTGCAGCACTCAACAAGCCGGCGTGAATGAGAGCCTCGCGGATTCGATCATTGATCATTTGATCGCTTATTCGAGGTGGATTCTCTTGAAAAGGGGTTTCTGTTGGCTTGTTTTGGCTTCTGTTGGCTTGTTTTGACTTCTTTTGGCCTCTTTTGGCCTCTTTTAGCTTCTTTTGACTTGTTTTGGCTTTTTTCCTAGTATTTTCTTCCTTTTCTACTCACCAATCATCCCAGCTTGAATAAAAGACTCGCGGCGTTCTCGAAGTCGCGCAAATGAACGCTCATAGCCGACACAACGGAGCTAGAATTACAGCTTCTTAGTCTTCGTTATGAATAGGTCTTTTTTTTTAGCTCCATAAGATTTACCACAAGATAAATCGTGTAGAGAACGAGAACGGCGAAGAAAAGCATCCCGAACACAAGAGCGACCAATCGTAAAGCGAGACTCTCACTCTGGAATTTGGAATTGAGCTCTGGAATTGCTCTGGCTTGCTCTAGAATTGTTCTGGCTTGCTCTAGAATTGTTCTGGCATTGCTTTAAAGCCAAATTTTCCCCATTCCCGGTTCACTTTCACTCACCGCAGCTTCAATATTATTTCTTGGATGGTGTGTCCAATGCCCTTTCTGATCCATGCTCATTGTCGCTGACTCAACCATTTCCACTTCGGAGTTCGGAGCTGTGATCACTGAACCGCAGAAAACCTGAAAATTTTATGAAATGACAAAAGAAATGGATTAATCGCTCAATGGGGATTTGAACCCTCGACCTTCCCCTTACTAGGCTACCACTCTACCACTGAGCCATCGGCTTCTTCTTTCTCCGGAAGAAATAGGAAACATAAGGAAAGAAAAGAGAAAAAGTTTGAGGTTTCGCTTTGAAGTTTTGACCATTTTCGCCCCCTAGCTAATAAGGGCGCTCCACACGCGAGGGAACAAAGGGCAACACTAGCCTAGGGGATAGTGCGCCGGACTAGAGAACGAATGGGGCCTCTTGCGGCGGGTTCGAGTCCTGCCAGTGACAAACCTTTTTAGAAAAACAGACAAATACCATTTTTAAGGCATTGTGCTTTTTCCAGTACAGCTATATCAATCAAAATCAAAAAACAATTCTTCTTTTTAATTTTAATCCAAGAAAAAGAAGGGAAAAACAAGAACAGTCAACAAAAAAGTCTGTCATCAAGGTCAATTTTTAAAAAGATCCGCTTATGCCAAAGGAATCTTTTTAAAGAGCTTTTTTTGACAGATAAATAATCCTTCCTAGTGTCGATAGCTGAGGTAATAGCTGATTTCCTAAATTCAATGACCCTAAAAAGAAATTTGTCTGTTTTTCAAAAGACTTGGTCGATGGCGGACTCGAACCCACTACAAGAGGCCGCATTCGCTTTTCAGTCCGGCGCACTATCTCCTAAGCCACCGCTGCCTTTTCCCGCTCGCGTGTGACGCGCCCTTATTGGTTGAGGCGTTTTTTGTGGTCGAATGGGCGAAAATTGTCAAAACTTTAAACGCATTTTTCTCGTCAGGATTTTAATTTGAGCAAAAAGTGAATAGATATATTCGATTGCAGCTATCCTGAAACATCAGTCCCAGTAAGCTGTAAGCTATCGGCGAAAGAAGAAATAGGAAAGACAAGGAAGAAAGAAGAAAGAAAGAAAGGAAGGAAGAAGAAAGAAAGGAAGGAAGGAAGAAGAAAGAAGAAGGGAAGGAAGAAGGAAGGAAGGAAGATGGAAGGAAGAAAGAAGGAAGGAAGAAGAAGGAAGGAAGGAAGAAGAAAGGAAGAAGGACGGAAGGAAGAAGAAAGGAAGAAGAAAGGAAGAAGAAAGGAAGAAGAAAGGAAGAAGAAAGGAAGAAGAAGGAAGGAAGAAAGGAAGAAGGAAGGAAGGAAGAAGGAAGGAAGAAGAAGTTAACATCAAACAATTTTATAGCAACTCAAAAGGCTTTGATGAAACAAACCGTGAAAAAGATGATGAGCAACGAGCGAGCACCGAGAGTCGGATAGAGGAGTTGGGGGGAATGTCGATGAATACCTGGAAATGAATGAATCCATTGGTTATCTGCAATGACTTCAATAGTCTCTTCTTCAAGACGAACCAGCAAAAAGAAGTATTGAACTGACGGCCATGATTATACAGACAACGATGAGACTTCCGAGAAACCAGGTGACACCCTGAAATAGGCATTAGAATCTAGCCAAGCTACAGTAGCTTTTAGAACAAACCAATCTACAGAACCCATCTACAGTAATCCAGCTGACTAACCTAACAATCCGATAGCTGATTGCCTTTTTTTAGGTTCTAATATGCGTTCTCTATTCGATATTTGCGTTCTCTATATCCTATAGCACAATCACATCGTATAACAAAACCCTATAGCATCTGGCACACCACTAATACGGATAAAGAGCCTTCGCCACAACTTTTCATCAGTTCCTGACTTTAAAACCTAAAAAGATATGGCAATCAGCTACTGGACTTGAACCAGAGAGGCATGGCCTTGCCCCCCGCCCCCCGTCCTAGCCCACTACCACTCGGCCACCGCTGCAACTGGTCCACCCAGCGAGAGAGAGGGTTCTAATCCCGTGGTTCCATTTTTTCTTACTAAACTTTGAAGGCTTAAAACTTTTGATAGAATGCTCTATAGGAAAAACGGAAAGCAGATTCGGAATCAGCGTGAAATTCTACGTCGGATGATTTATGGCACATGTCATTTGACCATCTCAGTCTTCCCTTGTAAGTCTTTGGTCCTTTCTTTTCCCAATCCATTCATTCCACTCCTAATCACCAGAATCACTCTAAAACTTGCCGTATCACTTGTTGCAATGTAAGCTGACGCTGAGGTGATGATTATCGATGAGAGAAGCACCTAAATTGAATTGTTGACTGAATACTGAATATTTGAGTTTTTCTTCCTTCCCCACCTCTCCAACAGCCAAGATTTTCAATCCGTTTGGCAAATTGCAGCAACAGCACTGCCATTTTGCTCCATGTGGATCGAAATCCATTGTCTGAATGTAAAAATAGATATTCTTTAAGAGATTCTGAAGTTTTAAGCATCACCAAACGACACTCAGCGAACGGAATACCATAGATTGGTTAAACCGGCAGAAGAGAGGGTTGAGCAGCTTAGGCTTAGGCTTAGGCTTAGGCTTAGGCTTAGGCGTAAGTTGAAGCTGCTCATCCGATCCAATGCAAACAACACGAGAGCCTAAGCCTAAGCCTAAGCCTGAGCCTGAGCCTAAGCCTGAACCTAAGCTTAAGCCTAAGCCTGAGCCCTAAGCCTAAGCCCTAAGCCTGAACCTAAGCCTAAGCCTGAGCCTAAGCATAAGCCTAAGCCTAAGCCTGAGCTCTAAAAGCTTCAAGACCAAAGCTCTTAAAGCTCTTAAAACTCTTAAAGACCCGATTCCAGCTTAAACTTGCCTACCTTTCTATCCTTTTCACAACTTCCTAAACTGCTCTTGCGGGAATTGATTGGAAGAGTGTATCGAACCTAAAAATTACCTAGAAATGCGTGATTTGATTTATAAGTGATTCAGAATTATTCAAAATTTCTTCTCAATCTTTAACAAATCAATGTCAAATGAATTTCAAAACAATGCCGACAATGACAAAAAATCTTTACCGTATGCGAATTCCCAGGCTGAAGCGGCGATGAAACAGTGAGACAAACGGGTGAACCCTGACAATGAGAGGCGCCCTTTTGACAAATTGATGTGCTGAAAAGGTTTTCGATTAGGGAAATTGTGCAATTGTGCAATTGTGCAAATTTCCGCACTTTTTCTAGATCCATAACTACATTTTGCATTGAATACCGTTTTTAGGGTATTTTTTAGACTTATCTTTCACTTTCGGAGTAACCAATGTATATTTTTTTGGTTAAAACGGGTTTAGATTTAAAGAAATGGTAGAAACTTGTGAGAAAAATGGTTGATTTGGTTTTTTGTATGAGTTGTGAAGGGATTACTGTACTTTTCCAGAATAAATTACAGATTTTAACGATTTAATTTTGCCATCTGGGCCTCACAACGGTTAGCTATTAAAAAATAAACGAGCTTTGGAGGAAATAGGCGAATTTAAATACTGTGAATGAGTTTCGAAGGGATTACTGTACTTTTCCATAATAAATTACAGATTTTAACTATTGAATCTTCCTATCTGGAACTCACAAGAGTTAGCTATCAATAAAACAATGAGCTTTAGAGGAAATAGGCGAATGGAAATACTGTAAATGAGCTGTAAAGGAATCACTGTACTTTTCCACAATAAATTCCATATTTTAACCATTTAATCTTGCGATCTGGAACTCACAACGCTTAGCTAATCGTGAATAAGTTCAGCCTAATACCTGCTACTCGCGCGACTCGTCGATTGACTTGATGGCGCATAATTGAATGGCGGAGACGAAGTGGAGGAAAATCTCTCGACAACCCGATGCTCGCCAGGCGATGATGGACGACGAATGACAGTTGTCGGGATATTTTTGGGGAAAAGCGATTGTTGACATCGAAAAGGAGAGGCTGAGCCCTTCATTGAGCCTGGCGGAGGACCCAGCAACGCCATCAATGTGGCCACTCCTTCACCCTTCCGGCGCATCTCTTTGAATTCATTTATAATGCAATTCGCATTATAAGTGAAAATTAGATAAAAAACATTGAAAGAAATGAAAATTAAGCAAAAAAAATCATTACAAGACGGCTAAAAGGCAGCTTGTCCTTAGGCTTAGGCTTAGGCTTAAGCTGCTCAACCCTCTCGTCTGCGGGTTTGACCAATCTATGGTATTCCTGAGCCTAAGCCTAAGCCTAAGCCTAACCAGAAAATGGGGGTTCAGCCCAAACCCAAATAGACTTAGTGCGAGCCGCTAGCCTTCGCACTAAGTCCAAGCCTAAGCCTGAGCCGACATTCCATTCTTTGTAGAAAAAAAAGGTTCAAAAATGACTTGAATGACAAAAATGACTTTAAAAAAAGTGAATGAAGAGGGATTTCAGGTAAGCAAAAAGACATTGTGATTCCAGAAGAGACCAAAAATTTCCCCAATTTTCTTGGAAATGTGAAAAGGAAAAGAGGGAAAAGTAGGAAAATGCAAAAAGTGAGTCTCTTTTGGATTCGGAGAAAATCGAAGATTTGGAAAGGTTCTTCTGAGTAAGGGAATCCCTTGATCTGGGCTTTGCCTGGTGCTGCACTGGCCTTAACCTATTTGAACTGATTCGGGCCTAACCTCAACCCGGATTCGGTTTAACTTTGCGTGAACTTGACCTTTCTTTGAGCCAGTTATTGGACATTTGATAAGCGCCCGTTTTTACCAATCTAACTTTGAGCTTAAATTTCTTGGTGTTGGACTGTTCAATTTGAATAGTTTTTCTACCAATCGACAGAGAAAGATATAACGCATCTAATGATACCAATGAATGTTTAAATTGAACAGTCCAACACCGAGATATTTGAGCTCAAAGTTGGATTGCCAATAGTAAAGGGGACATGCCGCGTATATACCGCATATGCATATATCTATAAAGCTTATATACCAAATGTCCTACAATCTTCGTGCTGGTCTATGCACCAAATCCAAGTTTTCCTTAGACCAGATCAGTGATCAAGAAACTAATCAGAAATCAGAAGCACGACTCTAACCGATTGTAGGAGTTGTTTAAGAGTGATCAATTTTAAAGTTATGATATCAATAATAAAGAAATAATATTAACACTAATATAATAAAACTATAATATAAAAAAAAACTATGAATGGCACGCGTCACTTCGATTGCTTTAAGTGAAAAAGTTGAAAATGAAAATGAAAATGAGAAACCAGGTGGAAAATGTCTTTTCTTTCTTTTCTTCGGCTCTTCTTGGGTCATTCGGAATTTCCCTGAAGAGCTCTTCTCCACTTTTCCTTTCTTTTTCCCTTTTCGGATCTCTTCAAATTACCCTTTTCCTTTTCACGTAGGTTTCCAAATGCACTGCAACTGCAAACAACTGCAAAAGAGAATGTTTCCAACAACAAAGACTGGAAACAACCGGGAAGATCTTGAGATAACGAGTTTTGATTCAACAGTAACAGTTGTCTAAACACAGCTTAACTGGACCATCTGGATCATCTCGACCATCTGGCTCAAGCTTGCAAGCCCGATTCAATTACCCAACTCTCAAAAAGGTTTGTATCACAATAAGAAAGATAAGGAAGTCTAACAATTGGAATTTCAAAAAAATCAAGAGCGCTAGAAAGTTTTAGAGTTTTACAAGTCAAGCCCAAAAAAACAACTCAAGAAATTCTTTTTCTGAAGCAAAAAGAAATCTTTCAGTTACGTCAAAAGGTTCATTGTTCTTCAGGGAAACTTGAAGACTTTGCACCTCTTTTGAAAAAGGAATTTTGAAGGAAAATATTTGGGATAACAAGAGAAACCCTATTTTGAATAACATTTTCAATTTCCTATATCAAATATGTGCGGATTAGTGAGTCAGTTCCTGAAAGATTTTGGAACACAAAAATGTTCATGTAGCTAAGTCATGTAGCTTTTCAAAGACGCCTCTACAACATCAAATGAATCAAAAAACGCTGGAACTTCACGAAAAATCGTCAAAAATTCGCCCGCTCAGTTCTTTGCGTGCAAATTTGCATTTCTCCTCTTCTTCGCAACGAAAAACGAAGCCGAAACGCTCTTTGGCCATTTCCGGATGAGAGTAATCAAATTTTGAGCAAGAGAAAAAGTTCTATTGAGGAAAAGTGGCCAAGAAATGGTTCAATGGTCGACAATGGGGCGAACTCTTTGAAAATAATATATCTATGGTGAAAGTCAGTCACTAACTCCTTTACCTAACACCTTTAGACTTATTAACCCTTTTCTAAAATGATTTAGCACGAAACCCAAGACAAAGCAATAAGATCGCGCCGACTATCGAGATTGCGTTTTAGTTAACGAAATTAGTTAGGTTGAGCTGAATTCAAAACTATGGAGTGGAAGGAGCCGCAAAGAAAACGAAATAAGGCCATATTAGAATTTTAAACACCAAATTATGGGCAAAAAATATAAAAAGGAGGGAACGAACGAGGAGAGAGAGCACTTTAAAAACGCGTTACAAAAACATAATATATTTTACGAAGGAGGGAAGAAAACTTAGCGGGACTCGGTATAAAAGCTGGACAAAGTTTCTGATTCCATCATGAAATGGAAAAAACAATGATTTGAGCGAGAAAAGCTGTAAAAGTTAATCATTTCCATCAAAAAGCGCTAAATCATGGCAAATCGTTTGTGCCTTTTTGCGTAATAGTTACTTCTAGACTACTTTATGTATAAAAGAAATGAAACAGGAGGCAAACAAGAGCAAAAGCATAAAAAACAATGATTTAAGTGAGAAAAACTGAAAAAGTTAATAATTTCCATCAAAAAGCGCTAAATTATGGCAAATCTTTGTGCTTTTTTGCATAATAGCTACTTCTAGACTACTTTACGTATAAAAAAATAAAACAGAAACAAAAACAAGAGCAAAAGCATTAAAAACATGCAAAATGATGAAAGTAGTGCGAAAAATTCGGCGCGAGAACGAATCGGGAAAATGAAAATAATGGCAAAAAAGGAATTTTGTGCGGGGTACGGTAGATATCCACGCTTTAGAAAACACGCCGCGCCGTTTTCGCGTCAGTCGCTTAAAACCGCACGTCAATAGGAATTTAACTTGAATCTATCGAATAAAAAGCATTCAAAATGATTTCCAGGCTTAAATTTTGTTGAAAACCCGAATTCTCACCAATTTCTAGCGAATTTTTGCTGCTTTTTGCTGCTTTTTGCTGCTTTTTGCTGTTGTTTTGCTGTTTTTTGCTGCTTTTTGCTTAGCATTACGGTACTCAATGCAAATTTTGATCACCTTTTTTCATTTATATGTAATTTGTTAAAGATTTAACCCACCTTGAAACTTTGTTGGAGTTAAGACAGAAGCTGATTGGCTTAAGAAGAGCTGATCGGCTTAAGAAGAGCTGATCGGCTTAAGAAGAGCTGATTGGCTTTCTGAAATCGTTTCTTATTCAAAAATTTCTATTGAAAATGATAAATTCGAAAGCTTTTCCCATGCAAACAGTCAAAGCTCGCTTTTTTTTTTGGTTTTTGGGTGTTCATTTGAAAAGAAATGGGAATTTTCTGAATGAATCATTCATTCGTTTCAGTGAATACCGTTGAGAATGATGGAAAAGAAAGGAAAAAGATTTGTTGGAAAGGAAAAAAGCAAAGAAATCACTATGCTAGTGAAGATTCGTTTCTATTGGGTTGGTGAATTGAAAACTGCCGGACTTTGAGCTAAAATTTATTCAATATAAAACCATGAATTCATTCGAAATAAGTTCCATTATTATTGACGACTTCTGCCCATTTTACAGGCAATTTGCGGATTCCTCTTTCGTAGTAGGATTTTGGTTTTGAATCGAAAAACTTTTGGAGCCAATTTTTGACTGCTTCTTCCGAATCGAAATGTTCTCTCGCAAGCTCATTACTCATGATCCGGAATAAATTCTAATCAATAGGGGTGAGGTCCGGACTGGCATGGGGAATGCGTTCCAATATGGTTCCAATATGGTTCCAATACGGTTCCAATATGGTTCCAATACGGTTCCAATATGGTTCGGATACGGTTCCAATACGCTTCCTATTTTGATCTAATACGCTTCCAATACGCCTCCTATTTTGATCTAATACCGTTCCAATACGCTTCCAATATGGTATGGGGAATGCGTTCCCAATCCCAATTGGGGAAACCCCAAAAGTTTCCAAACAAGGCTATTTATTTTAGAGCGAGTCAGTTTTGCAACATGAGGGTGCGCGTTGTCGTGGAGGAGAACGATCTTTGACTTGGAGGGCCTATTCTTCCTCAGGGATTCATTCACCTTTCCCAACTGTTCACTGTATTTGATTGCATTAAGGGTCGTCTTGCTATCCATTCTATGCTATCCATTGTTATCAATGAATCCCAGTACCCCACTCCCTCCATATCCCAGATATGGAGGGAGTGATGTACTGGGAGTTGCTAAACGCAGAGCATAAACTTCTTCCGGTGCAAATCGGGCTTGGGGTCACTTTCGGGTCTTGCCTGGCCCCACCCATTGCCGCTTCCTCCGAAAGTTCACGGATAAAACCCATTTCTCATCTCCAGTCACAATTCGAGGAAGAAAGGATTTCCTTTCATATCGTAAGAGATGAGCGGCACTGATGGAAGCGCGCTGCCACTTCTGGGGGTCAGTGAGGTCATAGGGCACCCATGGGTCAACTTGGAGCACCAATGGGTCAACTTTGGGCCCCAATGGGTCAACTTGGAGCACCCAAGTCCCAAGTTACGATTTAAAAAGGCAATTTGCCTATTCCTCTTTCGTAGTAGGATTTTGGTTTTGAATCGAAAAACCAAGCCAATTTCGAGCCAATTTTTGACTGCTTCTTCCGAATCGAAGTGTTCTCCCGTAAGCTCATTGCTCATGATCCAAAATAAATAGTAATCAAAAGGAGCGAGGTCCGGACTGTATGTTGGATGCGACAAAAGTTCCCAAACAAGGCTACAAGGCTATTTATTTTAGAGCGAATCAGTTTTGAGGGGCGCAACATGAGGGTGCGAGTTGTCGTG